CGCCACCTCGTCGCGTCTCGCCGTCACACCATGCTGACTCTCGCTCGTTGCACACACCCCCGCAGAAGAAGCCCGCGTCGACCGCCGGCAAGGCTCCTGCCTCGAAGGCCCCCGCTGGCAAGGCCCCCGCCAAGAAGGCCGTCAAGAAGGCCCCCGCCTCGGGCGACGACAAGAAGCGCAAGCGCAAGACCCGCAAGGAGACCTAGTGAGTTCGCGACGACTCTGCATTGACAACGAACGCCCGCTGACACGCTGTGGCGCGCGCAGCTCGTCGTACATCTACAAGGTGTTGAAGCAGGTCCACCCCGACACCGGTATCTCGAACAAGGCGATGCTCATCCTCAACTCGTTCGTCAACGACATCTTCGAGCGCATCGGTGCGTCTGCGTCCTTGCTCTCTGTTCCTGGACTCGCGCGCTGACCCGACTGTCCGCCCTGCTCGCGCAGCCACCGAGGCCTCTAAGCTCGCTTCCTACAACAAGAAGTCGACCATCTCGTCCCGCGAGATCCAGACCTCTGTCCGCCTCATCCTCCCCGGCGAGCTCTCGAAGCACGCCATTTCTGAAGGCACTAAGGCCGTCACCAAGTTCTCGTCGACCAAGTAAGGGAGAGGAGCGCGTTGGAGAGGAGGAGGGGGAAGGGGGAGTTGTTCGCTTTTCAGTTGCGGTATCCTGTTGTCCTTATTCAGCTCGCCCATTTGACCTCGCGCTTGCCGCCTCGTCGTGCAATGCCGTCCGTAACCCACATCGGCCCGCCTCGAGAGTGGCTTCTTCGCTCTTCGCTCCTTCGCTTCTCTGCTTTCTCTTCGCCTTCGGCGTTCTTGCTCGCTCTCGACGCACCTCAACGATGTGTTCATTGCTGCGGAGCTTGCCTCTGTCGACTTCGCTTGACTTGGCTCGACCTTGCCGCCTTCCTCCGGCCCCCCAGCCTCTCTCCCTCGCACACACTGCGCGCTTTCCCTCGCAGCGTAGCGGCTACTGCGCCGCAGCTTCACGCCACACGACCTGAGCAGACGAACGGACTTGCGGACAAGGCATCAGGAGGACGAGGGCAAGACGACGCTACCCCGACGACGCTACCTGGCAACTTCCTGCTCGTTCTCCTGCCCAGCGCGCCCAGCGACGACTTGTCCCTGTTCTTGCAGATCGAGGGCCGTTAGCCAGGCTGGAGGCTGCAGCGTTGGCTCGTCCTGAAGCGTTCTGCTCGCCTCGATCCCTGCTCAAGACGCCTTGCTCTTGTACGCAAGGCATCGCGTCCTTCCTCTCCAAGCTCACTCTCCTGCTACTCGAGGCTGTGAAATCGATGCTCAGTACGCACAGAAACTGGTCTGCTGTGCCTTGCCGATGTGCGTCTCCTGCGCCGCCATGGCTCGCTCGCTCGTTCGGTTCTGCTTTGTTGTGCCGCAATCCAGACGTCTTCACCCCCTAGTGGCAGAGATACAGCTGAAGAGAAGCCCGCCACCGGAGGGTTGTGCAGGAGACGCGACCGCTCACGAGCGGGGAAAGGCTGCCGCTCTCCTTGCAGATGGGCAACGTCGCTCCGTCGGTGTCCGCCGTACTCTCACTTCTTTGTGAGGGTCGCTGGGCTTCTCTCCGAGTGCTTGGTGCGGCATTCCCGCCGGCCGCCCTCAGGACGTGCGAAGTCCGTTCGACCTTCGCAGCTCGCAAAACCGGCCTCAACGTCGCGCCCTAACTCGCAGCCCTCACTGGCATACCACCAAGACTCACAGAGACAGAGAAGTGAGATCGCTCAGCCTCGGAACGACGTGGTTGTCGCATTCAGCTGTTTCAAGCCGCCGCGACTCCGCTCCGTCTCGCAACGACGACGTGACATGTCCGGGCTGTCAGCGGCAGTCTGCCTTTGCCGCTGGCGAGAGCTGATCAATGCACCGTGTCGCTCCAGGCGGAGCCGAGCAGGAGCGAATCGAGATGTAACGCCAGTTGCGAGCGTATCCATGGTCGACCTGCGAGCTCTGCCGCCAGCGGCAGGCTGGTGCAAGCCCGAGAGAGCAGTGAGAATCAGTAGATCTGACTCGCCTCATGAGAGGGTCGTAGCAAAGCGCGGTGCGAAGTCAAGGAAGGGAGGGAGCGGCGTGTCTAGCGTAGCAAGTCGGACAAGCCACGACTTTGACGAAGGGCTCCTTGTAGTCTTTGACTGACGAGAGTGTGCGAGCCATCGCACGGCGGAAGCGATGAGGCGAAGGACGCGAGGGTGAAGGGCGACGACGTAGAGACCTAATTGAGTTGCTGTACCTGTACGTATTGTTCCGCTGTACTTACAAGCAAGTCCTTGATGTTCTAGTGGTTATGATTCGGCTCTTACAAGCAAGTCCTCGATGGTCTAGTGGTTATGATTCGGCTCTCTCACAGCCGCGAGCGGGGTTCGATTCCCCGTCGGGGAATAGCACAGGCTTCTCTTTTTGCGGGTTCTCTCCTCGCACTCTCTGCTCTCGCTCGCTCTTTTTTCTGTACCCGTGCTTGAACGAAGAGCGTCGTCTATGCTACGAGCGCGTGCGAGGAACCTAGAGCCGAGGGACGCGTCAAGCCCGCGCGGGCGCGGTCGATACTCTCTTGCTCCTCGTCTCTCTCTTTTCCCACGTCTCCACGCGACACCCTTGAGACCATATGACGACGATGCAATACAACCATCCTTTTAGTGAGCGAGCGAGGCGAGCCGGAACGAGCGAGAGGGAAGAAGAGTCTACTGCGAGTGAGGCTTACGGGCGACGAAGAGCATCATGGGCGTGAACAGGTTCTCTTTCGCGCCGGCGACGAGGGAGTCGGCTGCGTGTCGAGACAGCGGCGCAACGAGGAGAAGCGAGAGGAGGGAGGGAGGAGGGAGGAGGAGGTAGACGAGGTGAGCGACTCCCGAGCGGCATGGTAAGACAGCGCCAACGCACCTGCGACCTTGAGTGCCTCCTGGACGTCCCACGTGCCCTTGGGGACCAAGCCCAACTTCTCGAGCGCCCAGACACCATAACCCGTGATGTTCCTCCCGACCTTTGTCATCCTGAACAGCGTCGGGAAATCCCACATGCTCTGACACTTGGACAAGTCGCCCGAGATGGAGAACCACCACTCGACGGGGTCGTCGCGCTGGGCGAGGTCTTCCTCGTGCTCGATCTCGAAACCGACGGTCTTGAGTGCGTCGCGTGCGAGAGCGATGGGACGCATCTCGGGGATGCCGTTGCCGAGCTCGATGCCGTGCTGGATCTCTTTGTGGCGAGGGTTGGATTGGTCAAAGGTGTCGGACATGCACCATTCGTAGACGCCGAACTGTGCGCACAAACGCGAGGGATGTCAGCCCGAGTCGCTGCGTCTCCTAGGGAGCAAGCGACGACGCACGACACCTCCGGGCTTAAGGACCTTGAAAATCTGGCCGTAGACGCCCTCCCAGCTCGGCGCATGGCACGTCGCCTCGATGGCGCTGCCCAACCGAACCCTCTCATCAGCCTATCCGCACACTGAAAGAGTGACACGCGAACGCACTAGACTGCGTCGAACGAGTTCTCGCCAAACTGCTCGACGAGGGCCATAAAGTCGCCCTTGACGAACGAGACCTGGTCCGAGAGGCCTGCCTTGGCCGTCTTTTTGCGCGCACGGAGGACCTGGAACTCGTTGTTGTTGACGCCGACGACTGGGACCATACGAGCGTCAGCGAGTGCGCTCACAGCCAGAGAGAGAGAGGGTGCGCGCACTGTTGCAGTCTGTGAAGCGGGCGATCTCGCGCGCTGGTCCACCAACGCCGCATCCGACGTCGAGGACCTTGTCGCCCTTCTTGATGCGCGCCATATGCGCCAGGTAATGCTCGTGGCGCGCGATGGCCTGATAAAACGGTTCGCCCTTGTAGTACCGACAAAAGTGGAAGCTCTCTCCCCAGCCGTACTCGTACAGCTCTGTCGCGCCGTCGTAGTACCCGTTCACGACGTCCGTGTAGTGGTCCTTCCGACGGGACGTGTGCGCTGCCGTGTCCTGAGAGGACTGGGCGTCCCAGTGCGCCGTGTACGAGGCGATCCCGGCGCGGTTGCGGACGTCGGTGCCGTTCTTGGGCTGCTCGGTGAGAGCGCGCGAGGAGGAGTCTGAGACCATCGTGAGTTCTGTGTGGTGTGGGAGTGAGCGCGTTTCGACGGGGTGAGAGACGAGATGCGACCACGCACGGGGTGGAGTGGCCTGTTGAAGGTGGGTGGGTCTGCGTGAAGGGGTGTTGAACCTGAGCAGTGACCAGCGCAAGCGAGCAGGCGGTAAGAACTGTAGCGCGAGGAATAGGACAACGGGCTGAGCGAGACGAGGCGCGTGCGAGCGAGCGAGACGATGGGCCGATCAAGCAGACGGTCGCTGGTTCACCTCGGACCCTCCCACACCGCTCAGACTGCCTCGCTCTCACCACCACCGAACTCGCACACGCTCATTTCACAGGCCACACCCGCGCAAAGTCGACCCGCCACTTGGACGCACTCCACCGCACCTCCTCGTCGGCGCGCTGCCAAACCCACTTGCTGGCGCTCACCACGCTCGGCTGGCGCTCTGTTGCGGACGTCTCAGTGATCAGTACTGCTCTGTGATTCGGACGAGCCAAGGAGCGAGCCGGTACGCACGGAAGGACAGGCTGTACCCGCTGCTCGACTCGCCGTTTCCTCCCTGACCCTCTCCAGCGAACCGCTGCTCAACTCGGAACGCTCGCGCGCTATCCGGCAAGGCTCCCGATTCGGCTAGCTGCAGGACGGAGCCGATGAGGGCCTTGCGCGGGGCGAAGGGGCGGAGAGCGACGTCAGTTGGAGCGAGGAGGACGGGTCGCGAGGTGCAGCGAGGGACGCACGGCGACTTCCTCCTTGACCTGCTCATACAACACCTCGAGTGCGTCCCTGTCGACTCTGCACCGAGGCAAAGAGTGACGGCGTGTCAGCTCAGCGGGCACCCGCTCGAGGGAGGACGAGGAAGGGGGACTCGACTCGTCGTGGGCTGGTCTGAGCGCGAGCTGGGTGACTGCGTGCGTCGAGTAGGAGTAGATGCAGGTGACCGAGTCCAGCGCGAGGGTGTCCAAGGCGTGCATGGCGGGTTTGTCGGTGTGCGAGTTGGGCTGAGTGGTCGTGGGACCGTGCGGGTTGCGCGAGCCGGTGTGTGAGAGTGTAGTCGAGTCAGTGGCGTGCATTGCTGATGCTGGCGAGTGCTTTGAGCGAGAGTGAGAGTGAGTTTGAGTGAGGCTGTGTTGGTCGAGCGAGGCGGTGAAGGACGCGCGAAGGTCGTCTGCTCGCTCTCTCTCTTCCTCGTCCTTCGCCCTCTTCAACGATTACAGACTCGGACTACAACTCGACTACAACTGACTACAACCGGCCACACACCCTCACACACCTGCGAACGACCCACTCGAGCACGCCAAGACCTCCCGTCTCCTCATCCGTCATCCCACTCAGCGCACGATGCCGCACTCGCACGCGCGCACACTCGCACTCGCTCTCACGCTCGTCTGTGCGTCCACTCCACCCTCGAGCTGGCAGATCTGGCTGACACGGTGGTTGCCGTTCCCGCTCGCTCCCCACTCGCTCCGCGTGAATACCAGGCGTCGTGTGCTTCCTCCCCTCCGCACAGTGCGTCCACTCCCTCACGCAAACCCACAGAACGACCGAACTGACGAACGATCGTGTGCAGCGCGTTCGGAGCGGGAAACATCCCCGGGTATTCGTTCCTCGAGGGAAAGGGTGCGTCCTCCCGTGCTCTCGGTCGCTTCGTTGCGGGTGCCAGTCTCGCCAGCTGCTCTGTGCACTGGTTTTCTGTCCCTTCAACGAACCGACGAGAAACCCTCGGCCAGCATCTCACAGAACCTGACCACCCCGCCTTCGCTCGTCGACCGCACAGCCTTCCGCCATGGCGACATCGAAGACGCCCTCGCCGAGCTTATCAAAAAGTCCGGCGGGATCTTGGGCAGGGGCAGCAAGTTTGGTGGGTTGGACATCAAGCGCGTTTACTTTGGTGCGGTTTTGCCGCCTCCCCTCTTCTTTTGTCGGAGCGCTGATGGAGGTTGGTACGACAGGCAACTGGCTCCGCGACTACTCGCAAGCGATGGACATAGCCGGCCTCTCGAAGCTCTCGAAGCAGACCATCCTCAACCTCGTCATGGCCCTCGGCTTCCTGGCGCACGGGTACGCGACGGGAGAGTTCGAGGTCACGGATGAGAGGTTGGGGGTGTATTTGCCTGTCGAACATATCGAGTGAGTGCGGAGAAGAGCGTGGATGGCTTGAGGGAGGGAGAGCTGACCTTCTTCCCGCCTTGCCTGTCTTTCTCCTCTTGCAGCAACCCGAAGGGCTACGCCGTACGTCCTGCATCTCTCATCCACGCGCTAGAGGCCTGCGGGGAGCTGACGGTCCTTTTCTGCCTCGCTTGATCCCCTTCGCCTGATCCACTTCTCCGCCCTTTCTGTCCTCCGCTCTTTCCCGCCTCACAGGACGACCAACCAGGCAAAGACGCCCGCCGGATCGACCCTCGCCTGCGCCCTCCCGTCGAAGACATCGAGCTCGCAATCGACCCTCAAACCGGGATGGCCAACTACATCGCGAACGAGAACGGGCACTGGGACACGTCGGCCCGACTCGTGAGGGAGAGGATTGTGCAGTGTATCGAGTGGGGGAGGAGGGCGAGGAATGGAGGAGGTGAGAGGGAGTTGTATGAGGCCTATCGGCTGTGCGTCCCGTCGCGCTCCTCCACTTTGATTCTTCCGAGCGATGAAGCTGATAGACTCGAGAACGTCTGACTGGACAGCCTCGGCACCCTCCTCCACACCCTCGAAGACTTCTCAGCCCACAGCAACTGGTGCGAACTGTCACTCCTCCGACTCGGCTACACCCAGGTCTTCTGCCACGTCGGGGACGCCGTCCGCATCCAGAGTCCGTCGGGGACTTGTCCGCCGCTCGTCACGGGTGCGTCGCGGCGTTAACCTCGCTCAATACCGACTCTCGAGGAGGGAGGAGCTGATCAGCGATAGCGGCGCGCGAACAGGCTCGTTCGGAGGCGCCGACTTCCTTCACAGTCTTCTCGGCGAAGCAACAGACCACATTTCCGAAGCGTCCGTCTCCGACCTCTCGAAAGCGATGGAAGGCGCTCGTTCCGCCTCGTCCTCCGGCCAACGCGGTTTCGGCTCCTCCTCCTCCTCGACCTCCGACACCCTCCGCAAAATGCTCTTCGACCTCCCCGGCTCTTCGGGAACCGAGTTGAGTCGCGAGATGCAGGGCGTCGAGGATATCCGCACCCGGGCGAACGCCGGTCAGTTGGGAGAGTTGAGCCCGCAGGAGTTGCATGCGACGTTGTGGAAGGTGTTGACGTTCCGTGACAACGTGCGTCCCCTCCTTCTCTCTTCCCTTGTCTGTTCTCTCGCGCGGGACGAGGCGGCTGACGAGAAGTGGGAGACGAGTGCAGGTCGTCAAAGGCATCGAGCGCACGATCGAAAAAGTCCCCGGCCTCTCGGCCCTCTCGGAGAAACTCTCGAACAGCGTCAACGCGTTCGTGTTTGAGACGATCGAGCCCATGCTCAAACCTATCATGGGTGCGTCTCTGCGTTCCTTCCCCCCTGCGAGAATTCGACGAAAATGTGAGGGCTGACGAGTGGGCGGGGTTTGTAGGTCAGGCGACGCAGGTGCTTGGGCAGGGGTCGGCGCAGGTTATCAACAATTCGGACCAGGTGCGCTGTCTCCTCCCCGTCACCGAGAAGGACCGCACGACTAACGACTTCCCAACTGCGCGCAGTACGCCGTCTTCGACAACCCTCACTCCTCGAACCCAACCCACTCCTTCCTCTCCAAGGACCAGTGCGTCTCCCTCCTTCCTCTCCCGCCCTCCGCCAATCTGACGAACTCGACGCGGTGCAGCTTCGCCTTGATCCTGAACGAGCCCGCGGGCCAGATCGCCATCATCGTCCTCACGCACACGGTCAAGCAGATTGTCAAGGCCTGGGAGGATACGTCGGTTGATCCGAGGATGGTTGCGAGTAAAGGTGAGGCGCGGCGGGAAGTTGTCGGCGCCTGTCTTTCGCGATGAGGAGGAGCTGACTCAAAGTTCCCGCTGCTTGAACAGCTCTCGAGGCGTTCCACCACCCGTACGTCGTTCCTCTCGTTGTGGCCGGAGTTCGAAACAAGCTCACCCCCCTCGCCCTCGCAGCTACTTCTACAACGACAACTCGGACGTGCAACGCGAGATGGGCGCGTACATGAAGAAGTGGATCGACAGCCAGTCGCACGACGACAAGCGCGTCATCCTCGATCGATTGACCAAGGACGCGGTCAGGCAGCACAAGAACAAACGCAAGGGTCATGAGTCGGATCAGGAGGGTCATGGGGCTCACGGACGTGCGTCGTAATGTTCTCTTGCGCTCGTTCACCGGTTCGGCTGGGTCCCGGAAGATGCGCTAAACGGAACCTGCTCATTGCGCAGAGTACAACTCGGTCCTCATGCCTCAGGGCGTCGGGGCCTTCGCGCAGCAGTACATCCCCGGCGCCAACTCGGCCATGAACACGTTCAACCAGGCGTCGAACAAGTTCAGCCAGGTCCAGCATGCGTTTGGTGGGCCTGGCGGAGGCGGAGGAGGGAGGCGCGAGTTTGAGGGAGGTTTCCAGGAACCGGCGCAGGGGTACATGCCTCGTGAGTTGGCGCTCGCTCTTTGCGCATCCCTGAGCCGCTCTGCAACGGCTTCCTCGAGCGTTTCTCGTCGTGCGACGGCTCACACCGCTCTCGCTCTCCCTCGTTCGCAGCGATGGGCGCTCCCCCTCAAGCCGTCCATGGCGGCGCTCCCTCCTTCAACGAGTTCAACCAGCCTCACACCTCATCCGGCTACCCTCACTCGCCCGCCCCCTTCGACCAGCAGCAAGGCTACCCGGGCCAAGGAGGCCACCACCACGGCGGCGGCGGACACCACGGCCATCACCCGCACCAGCAAGGTCCGCCAGGCGGCTACGACTCGGGCTATGGCGGTGGGAACCGCGGGTACGGGGGCCCTCCTGGTCCTCCGCCCGGCTCGTACGGCGGTGCGTACGACCAAGGTCCGCCGCCGATGATGCAGCAGGGCTACGGCAGCGGCGGCGGAGGGTACCAGCAGCCTCCTCCGCCGCAGCAGGGCTTCTACGGACAGGGTCCGCCGCCGCCTCAGGGAGGGTACAACCCCGGCTACGGAGGTCAGGGAGGAGGAGGGTACTACTGAGTCGACGCAGTGGAGCGGTTCTCTCTTTCCGTTGTTGCTTCTCGTCCGTCGTAGCATGCCATTGCAAGTCGTTTGTGCAGTCGTCAGAACGGCAAGAGGCTCGAGAAACTGCTCGGAAGCGCAAGCGAGCTGGAAGAGGCGAGCATCGAGCATCAAGCGGTCTTGCGAAAGGCTTGTTTAGTTTCTTTCTGTCTCCCAAGACGTGCGCGAGTGTCTGTGGCATCGTTGCAGTTATCCGCGGAAGCGAGGAAGGACTATAACTTTAGCGCCCGCTCAAAGCGAGGCGAGGAGCATATCGCAGCGAAAGGAACGACACGGTCAAAGCGAGCGCGAGTGGGTGTGCGGTGCCGAGAAGAAAACCGGCGGTAAAGAACGACAAAAGGTGGGAGAACGGAGGGTTGGGTGGGTTATCGTGAGCGGCACGAAGAGTGGGGGCGTCAAGATTAGGTGCTACAGGCGGGAGAAAGGCGAAAATGTGGGTGGGTGTTGGTCGTGCGGGTTGCGAGGGGGTGAAGTCGTGAGGCGAAAGGAGTGGTACAGCGAGTCGAGCGGAAAATGTCTGCGGGACGAGAAGTAAGTCTCTGCTCGAGTCGAGGGCGAGTCACGCCGCACGCACTGGTTTCTCCACTTCAGTCGCGGTCGCGCGGGTCGTCGTTGACGACACTCAAGCGCCAGCGCCTCCCACCATCGGTCTCGTCGTACCCAGGCCCGAACGCGCTGTCTCCAACCTGCATCGGCCTCGGGCTGAGCGCCCTGTCCGGCGCCTCCATCTCCGGCTCGCCAGGGAACGGCAAGTGTCCTGACTGGCTTCCTGCGGCGTCGTACGCGTGTCCGTCGGCCGAGGCAGATCCCGTGCGAGGAGGCGAAGGCGTGTGGCGCTCATGCGACGCGACGTAGCCGATCGAGGCGGGCCCCGGGGCGAGCGGCGCGTGAGAGTGCTGCGAGGGCGTCTGAGTCGAGTAGCCCGTGTAGGCGGACGCGCCTTCGGGCGAGGAGCCGTCTCCGCCGTAATGGTTGTACGGCGAGGCCGAGTAGTCGGACGTGTAGACCGACGGAGGGATGGTCGGGAGCGTCGGCTGGCGACTCGACGTCGAGCCGTAGCGACCGAGCATGCCAGCTGCACCGAGACCGGCCGCACCAGCTCCGACCTCTGCCATGCCCGGTCCTCCGCTTCCGCGGGCACCAGCTCCTGCAACATCTTCGACCTCGTCGCCGTCGTCTCCGACACCGAAGCCTGCCCTGCCCGTGTTGTGAACCGGCTCGGGGTAGAGCGCGGCGCTGTCGCCCGTCGCGGGCCAGAGGATGTTGTCGGCCGCGTCGCGCTTCTCCTTGCGCCTGCGTCCGACGCCGAGGCAGAGGAAAGCGAGGAGTGCGAGAAGAGCGAGACCGCCGGCTGCAGCACCCACACCGATGCCGACTTTGGCGCCGGTCGAAAGGCCGCCCGAAGAAGCGGCAGCCGAGCTGGTCGGCGCAAGCGAGCGAGTCGAGGCGGAGGTGATGGGCGGGAGGGACGAGGTGATGGTCGATGTGCCGACGACGATGACTGGCGAGCCGGACGACGCAAGGTCAGTGATCTGTGCTCCCTCGGCCTCGGCATGCGAAGACGAAGGGGCCGCAACTCACCCGTCGTCGGAGTGATCACGCTCGTGATGGTCGTGTCTGCGCGAGGTGTTTGCAAAGCGTCAGTCGAGACTGCTGCATCTCTCGAGGGTGTAAAGCGGACTTGCCGGCCGGGGCGCTTGTGGTCGTGCGTTCGCGCGTGGAGGTCGAAGAAGGGGGCGGCGACGTCGTGGTGCTCGGTTCGGCGCTGGTTGTGGTCGACGAGGAAGTGGTGCTGCTCGTCGTTGAACTCGTCGTCCTGTCCCAGCGAGCGAATTCCCCATTGTCAGCCCAGATGAGACGCGTGCTTCCCGCGCGAGACGAGCGAAAACACTCACGTCGTCCTCGAGGAACTCGTGGTGGTGCTCGAGGATGTCGTTGTGGTCGTGCTAGACGCAGCACTGCTCGTCGACGAAGCCCCGCCGCCGCCAGGACCGTCCACGAGCGACGAGATTAAGCTATTGATGGGGTTGACCGCCTGCCTTCGCTCGCGGACGAAGCGCGCCGGGTGCTCTGCGTAGACGAGCCCATCGCGGTGCACGAGCACAGCATCCATCGTGAGCAGCAAAGCGAGCGAGTGTAGCGTGTTGAAGTCGAGGGCTGTCCTCTTGTCGGGAGGGACGCAGCAAGCGACAGGGGACACCGCTCGCCTTTTCCTTCGCAGCGAAGACAGGGATTAACAGCAGGACAGTATTAAATGGATGCAAAGCTGCGGCTGGGCGACCGCAGATGAGGGGGGTACTGACGAGGCAAATGAGGGGAAAAGGTATGAGGGGGACGCAAAAGTCGAAACGGAGGGTATACGTGCTCGCACGCCGGCTGAGCGAGGGTATTTTGTGTGAGGAATCAACGAGGGAGGAAAAAGTCGAGCGGAAGGCGAGAGAAGCGAGAGGTGGACCAAGGTGGACTATGAGGGGGTTTTCTGGCGGATAGACGCGCAAGGTCAGCTTCGCAGCTCATCCGCAGCCAAATCTTCGTAACGCACCGGGATCAAGCCCGCGCCCCGGCCTGTCCACCACACTTTTCGCACTCCCTTGCCGATGCCGTCGCCTTCTCGACTTCACCAACCAACTCCTTCACCCGCCCCTCCAGCTCATACTGCATTCCTAGCCACGCCTTCTTCGCCTTCGCAAACTCTTCCTGCAGAGCCACGTACCGCGCGAACGGGACCGTCTCGCACTCGCCTTCGCGCTCGTGCGAGGGGAAGGAGAGCGAGAAGGCGGGAGTCATGGGCGTAGTCGTTCCCGACGCTGCGACGTGTTCGTCGAAGAGCGAGGGAGTAGTTGGAGAGACGCTGGACTTGAATGAAGCGGCTCGAGGCGAGTGAAGCGGTTCGGAGAGGGGAGAGGTGGACGAAGGCGGGGAGAGCGACGCGGGTTGCTGAGAGAGGAGGAACGAACTCGCTCCCGGTGGTGAGAGCGATTGAGCGAGTGCGCGTGCTGCAGGGCCAGCTGCAAGGAAGTCGGAAGGAAGGCTGGCCGAGAAAGCCATCGAGACGGGGCGGAGGGAGAGGGTCGGGGCTGGGACCCGGCGGACGCGCTCCGAGCCTTCAGCAGCAGGCGGCGTCGAGAACGTAATGCGAGTGTTGGAGGCGGAAGGAGGGATAGAAGCGACGAGTTTGGGGCCGGCAGAGCGGGACATGGTCGCGGGCGCCGAAGCCGACGCGGTATCGAGCGTCGCGACACTCGGGCTGCTCGAGATGGACGCCTGCAGCGCCAGAGGCATGGCAGGCCGCTCGGCGTGCTTGTCGGCAACGCCCATCATGCGCTTGAGGAAGCCGCTCTTCTTGGGCTTGAGCGCCTTGGGCGTAGGCGCGCTCGCGGCGAGGACGGGCGACGTCGAGATGGCCGAGGGCGACGAGATACCGCGGCGCATGGGGATAGACTCGACAGCCGACGGGCGGCCCCTCGGGGACTCGCTTCGCACCGCCGCTTCAAGCGGAGGCGTCGAAGCTGCCTTGCGCTGAGCCGCCGCCGACCGCTCGCTCTCGCGCAGGCGGGCCTCTTCAAGCGAGATGAGCTTGTGGTTGAACCCGCCAGGCGTGATGCGCCCGCTGCTGGGCGCGCCAGGTTTCGCCGCGAAGTACGAGCCGCCTGGAGGCGAGAGGATGGTCGAGGCGCTCGGCGTGCAAGGTCCGGGCGTTGACGGCGCACTGCCGTCGGATGAGACAGGCAGGCTGATTTTTGACTCGGAAGGCGGGAGTGCGCGACGACCGAAGAGGGTGACCGTCGGCGGGGCAGAGACGGGAGGCATGGCGGCGATCGGCGAGGCGAGCGGGAAGCCTGGCGCCTTGCTGTCGAAGACGACGGGAGCGAGGTTCTTGGCGGCTCGTGTCGCCTTGGTCGCAGACTCGGACCTTGCGGCGCCGGGTCGAACCTTGCCAGCGTAGGCGGCAAGACTGGCGGCGCCGACGTCGGGGTAGGAGTCGCTGTGCGGCACAGGCGGCGATGACGAGCCGAAGACGCTCTTAAGCGATCGCTTCGACTCGGACGCCGCGAGACCGTTCGGCAGTCCAATATTGAGTCCGAGCCCGCGCAGAGCGTCGTCGCGCTCCTTGTTCCGCTCGTCCGACTTGGCGCTCCGGCGGGTAAAGGCGCTGAAGCTCCGACCGTGTGTTGGAGCGCTTGTGACGACTGGAGCGTCGGACGAAGCGATGGTGACGCGCACGGTCGTCAGCATGTCGAGCGACTTGCGTTCGAGCAGCTTCGGCCGTGCAGTCGCAGGCGGTTGAGCAGGTCGCGAGAGGTCGCTGTCGTCCCACGGTGCCTTCGAGATGACCTTCACTTTGAGGCCTGCGCGCGAGTCTGGTCAGTAAGCGTTAAGAGCGAGAGCTGGGCCTACTCACCAAGAATGCTCTTCATTCGGTCCGCGGGATCCGCCGAGATCTGGTCCGCAACGCCTTCGAGCCTCGCCTTCCACGACTCAGTCGAGACGAGCGAGTTCTGCGAGTAGCTCGGCGGAATCTTGGCAGCGAGCGTCTCGTGGCTGTGGTTTGAGCCAGGCCCCGAAGGATGCTCGCCCGCGAGGTCCGGCGTGACCGTGCTCGTCGACTGCTCGGGGTCGTCCTTTGCGCGAAGAATGGCCGCCAGGTCTTCCGGCAAGCGGTCCATATGGCTTCTCCGCGAGAGAGCCTTGGTGTCCCAAACGACCGCTTCCTCCGTGTCCTCCGGCGCATCCTCGACCGACTCGGACAAGATGCTCGTCGCGCCAAGACTCATGCGCGGCGCATAAGGCCGATGCGGGATCTTGGTGATCTGCGCCATGCGAACGCTGCCGATGGAGGGAGACGGCGAGGGCGAACAGTCGGAGAAGTCGGTCACGGTCGTGCTCTGCACCGACAGTCGGTCTGTGCGGAAGCTGGACTGCGAGGGCGAGAAGGGAGGAGTGCCGGGGCGGCGGAAGGATCGCCTGTTTTCGTTGTCCTCGAGGGGAAGAACGGTCGTCCCATCCCGCAGGTCTTCGTCTTCCTCCTCCGCTGCGCTGCGCGTACCCTCCTCATCCTCGAAAGCGGTGGTAGACCGCAGACCAGTCGAAGCGGGTGTCGCAAGGGGTTCGAGGAAAGAGACGGCGGGTGTCGAAGGTGAAGCAGGCTCATCCGCCTCGCGCTTCGCAGGGCCGGCCGACAGGTAGTGCAGACGCGCCGACTTGCCCTTGTCGTCGACAGCGAGCGGCGTAACCTCTGTCGCCTGCCGCTCGGTGAACGGACCCCCCATCGCGACTTCGGGTCGAAGTGTTTTGTGGGCGGCGTGACGGCTTCAGGCTGGGTCTGCGAGGGAGATGGACGCGTCAGCTAGGTCTCTACTGGCCGTGCAGATGTCTGGCGTACCCGCTGAGCCCTGGCAAGGTCACTGAACCGCGCTAGAGACGCGTTCGTTTCGAGGAGGAGATGAAGGCGAGGAGGCGCCGACGTCCTGTGGGTGCGACTGGCGGGCAGAGAGACACAGCCAGCACGAGTCAGAAGCACAGAGAACAGCTAGGCCGACAACAAGGCGCGGAAGAGGAGGTTGAGCGAACAAGACGGAGCGAGACAGCGAGTGAGCTCTTTGAACGCGAAGGCTGGAGTTTGTGGGACACCGGCAGCGGCTTCCACGCTTCCAAACGATCTGCAGGGCTTTCCGGACGACGCCAAATTCGGACGGACACGCGCGAGAGGCGGCACCGACGACTCCACCGGCGAGGAAGCGAGCATTCTTGCGTCTCGCATGGACGACACGCTCCTGCAAGAGACGAGTGCGCGTTGCGAGGTTGCGGTGCGAGAGGAATGCAGTGGTGGAACGATACAGCGCTCAGAAAGGCGGCTGGCCAAGGAGCTTGCGCATCTCGCCCTCGGCGCCCGAGATGGACGACTCCTTGCGCGGCGACGACGACGCCTTGCGGCCGGTGATGACCTCGAGGATGGATGCCGAGCCTCCAGACGTGCCGAGTGTGGACGTGCGTCGCGGAGAACGCGCTGAAGGGGAAATCGACGGCGGCGAGCCGTTCGATGGAGATGCGTTTGGCCAACCCTTCGTCGTCTTCCGGCCGAGTGTCGCGGTCTGCGTGACCGGCCGAGGCTGAGATGACGGTGAAGGGCTCGCCAAGTCGTCTTGAAGCAGGTTCCACCTCGAGTTCGTGAGCTGAGCCTCGGCAGTCGACGGCGCCTTCGCACCGGTCAGGGGCGGTGGCGAGACTCCCGAATCGCCGTAGGCGGTACTTGCTGCTCGACGGTGCACCGAGGACGAGAGGATACTGCTGCCAGAGCTGACGGAACGAGGGCGAGCAGCGGCGTTGAGCGAGGACGTGGTGGTCGAGGCGGGCGAGCCAGAGACGATGGCCTGCGACGCTCGCGCCGGCTCGTTCCTTCCAGCAAGCGCAGACCCTCGCGGAGCAGGGCGGATGTAACGAGGGCTGTGGCTCGCCGACGTACTGCCGCTGGCGCTGCCGGCGCTAGAAACAGCCTTCTTGCCCGAGGTCGGGAGGAAAGCTGGAGCTGCACCGCTCGCCGTATGCGACGGGTCGTAATCGGTGACGGGAGGGGTCTCGCTGCGTTGGCGAAGAGGCGAGTCGGCCGCTGGAGCAGACGAGTTTGGGAACGGGTTGGGCGTTGCGGGGGAGGACGGGCCGAATGGGTCAGAACGGACGGCTGTTGGCGAGGTGGACGTGGAGCGAGCTAGTGCGCGAGCCAAGCCAGACGGCGAGGTGAAGGGCGAAGCAAAGCGCGTGTCATCGCGGAGAGTCGGGTACGAGACGGGCGCGCCATGCGGCGACGGCGTGCGCGAGCCGAGGTGCGGGTCTTCGTCTGCCTCCGGGATGGTGAACTCCGAGCGGGCGAGCGCAGTGGCATTTGGAGGTAGCGGGATGCCTTCCGATACGCTGCGCCGGATGCTGGGGACGGAGGCGGCGATTGCTGCCGGCTTATCGACGAGGATGGCAGACTCGGCGGCCGAGTGTGACATAGACCGCGACGCAAGCGTCTCGGAATCGCCCCCTGGTAGCACTCGCGATTCTTTGCCGTTCGACTTCTTCTCGGCGCCCTTGCCCTTGTCAGGCGCAGAGTGTCGACGTGCCCGCGAGCTCTCCTTGCTGCTCCACGGTTCGACCTCGAGCGTGTAGTACTTGGTGCCGGGAGCGAGGAGGTATGGGTTGGTCGACGGGTCCTGCACGAGGCGATGTCAGCAGGCTTCTCGCGTCGGAGAGAAGCGAGCGCACTTTTGGGTCGACGACCTTCTCAGTCAGCGAGGTGATGCGCGCCACGATCCATTCGCGCGTCTTCATCTGCTCGGCAATGACACCCGACGCGCTGAGGAAGTGGTGCGGGAAGCTGACGTTGAAGGCGGCCCAGACGGGCACCGCCGAATTGCGAGTCGGCAGGAAGAGCGCAAGGTCGCCCTTTGCGAAGCTGGAGGCGCAGGTGTCAGTCAAATATCTCGCATCGTGCGAGGAGCAGGGTCTTGCTTACTTGCGGAAAGCGATCTTGTCGTTCGCGCCGCTTGCTGCTCGGTGCGCTCGCTCGCGGTACGCCTTGGCCTCCTTCACCCACTTCTTCGTCACGCTCGTGAGGCTGTCGACCTTGTTCTTGACGGCGTCGGTGAGCGTGTCGTGGTTGTACTTCTCGAGCTCGGTGAGCAACCCTTCGAGGTCGCCAGAAGCATAGTCCAGCGCAGGAACCGCCGGGACATGGGCGTCGACGGCGGCCTTGTCGACCTCCGATGAGCCGCCATCAACTTTGGCGGGAGGAGGCGTGTTCAGGATGGCCGTGATCTTGTTGTTCTCGTCGCGAAGGCGGCCGGCGAGCGTGATCGCGCCCCTGGCGAGATCCGTCATCTTGCGCAGGACCTTGTCAGCGTCGACGAGAGCCCTCTCCTTCTCGGCCTTGACACCCTCGACAGCCTTACGGATGTCAAGGAGATCGTCCTCTTTCGCCTGGGCGACCTTCTCCCATCGCCCAATCTGCTCCTTCAAGCCGTCGATCGCTTCCTCCAAGAGACGCCCGTGCCGCCGTGCGTCCTCCAACTCCTGTTCCTTCGCCTGCGTGCCCCTCTGCGCCTCTGCAGCCTCCTTCTCCAGCACAGCCCGGTCAAGCTCCGCCTCCGACCGATGGTCTCGCAGCAAGCGGTCCTTCTCGGCAATGGCAAGCGTCAGCTCGCGCTGCGACTCCTCAGCTGCGACGAGCTTCGCCTCCTGCTCTGCGATAGTCGACCTTGCGCGATCGAGTCCGAGGCGGAGGGTACCAAGCTCGCCCTGAAGGCGAGTGTGCGACTGGTCGAGAGCGGTCCACTGCTTCCTGAGCTCGCCTTCTGCCACTCGCGCACCAGCGAGGTCGCGCTCGAGCGTCTCGCTACGACGCGACTCGGCCGTGAGGCGGCGCTCGAGGTCTTCCGACCTGGCGACGATGCCTTGATGTGACTGTTCGACGCTGGACTTGTCCCGCTCGAGGCTATCGAAGCGTCGCTGGAGCACCATGCGGGCGTTCTCGGCGGTCGACGCACGTGAGTCGAGCTGTGCGACTTCCTCCTCGCGAGCAGATCGCTCCGTCTGCAGCTCCCGCGACAGCGAGTCGTTCGTCTCCTCGAGTTGCCGCAGCTGCGCTTCAAGTTCGGCGATGCGGGCGAAGTCGGCGCTCGGTGGTCGCGGTGGCGGTTGGTCTGCTACGGCTCAATCGATCAGGTTCGTCAGACCGCGGCTGAGATGGAGGCGAGCGCACCGAGCGAGATCCGCTCGAAATCCTGGCAGAGGGCCTCGATATCACTGATGAGCGTCGTTAGCAATGCGCGAGCCTTGCGGATCGGATTGTCGGGATTCGGCGAGCCAGCAAGGGCGTCGTCCAGGTCTCGAAAGGAGTTGGCGAGTTCTGCGTAGTGAGCCGTGTTAACCTCGGCTCAGAGAATCATAGTGTGCAGAACACACTGTCGAGAGCGTCCTTCTCCAGTTCTGGCAATCCTTCGTCCCTGCCCATCACGTCCAGCGCCATCTCCGGTACCCGCTCGTCCGTTGCGTTGCCCAACCCTCGCACCTCCCAGGGCAGCTTGCCAAAATAGTCCTGGCGGTACCGCACCCGTCGCTCACGCTCGCGGGTTGAGAGGGGAGAGAATGTCGACGATAGCTTTACGGACTGTCCCGATAGCAGGCGGGCTGCGAGTATCCGTCGTCAGCTCTCGCTCCTGAACGCACTTCCCACGAACGCACCGTATTCCCGTCTTCGCACGACCTCGGCAACGGTGGCGACATAGGCGGGAATCAGGCCCTCGAGACGAGCGAGATGCTTGAAGTTGTCGGTCCGCGTGCTGGCGAGGAAGACGGGGTCAGCGGGTGGCAAGATGGCTGAGCGACGAACGAATGCACCGGAGATCGTGATCGAGAGCGCCAAGCTCGGAAGGCATTGTGGCGATGTCGCTCTGAAGTGTCGAGATTTTCTGCATCTCGTTGAGAAGGTATCGGGTCATGGCGTTCTGCGAATAGTCGCGTCAGCTTAGCTTGCGCCGGGTGACTTCACAGTCGAGCTCACCTTGCGTTCAACAAGAAAGCGGATCCGATCTCGGTGCTCGGCGTCGCAAACCGAAAGCTCTTCAAAACAGGACGCTCGGAGGTCGGGGTCGCTCACTGCAGGCAGCGACAGCAGGTCAACCACTGCCCTGTCAAGCTACGAGATGTTAGTACTCACTCTCTTGACCGGCATGAACGAGCTCCTCGATGCGCATATGTCCCTGTTCGGCGTCGCGCTGACAAGCCTCGAGGTCCTGCAGCTCGAGCCTGTTTCGCGACAATGTGAGCGTGACGAGCGAGTCGGCCGAGTGACTGAATGTACTTTGTAGCCCCGAGATCTGCTTGAACAGCCTCGGTACCAGCGACAACACCGTCGAGCGTCGCTTGAAGCGCTTCGCTACGCAACTTGAGCTCCGCTGCGAGATTTTGACCGGTCAGTGCGCTCATCCTCGGCGGGAGGACGGGGAAGTAGGCGCACCCAGCACCTTCGCGCAGCCATCCCGCACCGCAAGCATCTTGTCCCTCGAGACGTAGTCTCCGAGATATCGCTGCTTCTCCGGCTGGGGCACGCTCGACGTGCTTCCCTCCCTTGCATGTACGCTGTTCCCGCTCGACGCATGCCGCATCAACAGCCGCGCAACGATCGCTACTTTGCCGACTGCATCCATCGACTCTTCCCAGCCCGTCAAGAGGTTTTCGTAGCGCTGCATCGTCGGCTGAGCGGACTCGAGGAAGAGCGAGAAGGACGAGGCGGTGCCGGTGTTGACGCGGTGCAGGTTCGAAAGGGCGAGGGCGAGAGAGGCGTGCTGGAGCTGGATTGCCGAGATCAGAGCGTGCAAGGTCTGAAGGTTGTGAAGCGAGAGGGACAGGTGGGAGTGCAGCGGGTCTTCAGCTGTATGTACCGAAGCGTCAGCAAGCTCAGCTGTCGTCGCAGAAGCGTGAACGCAATCGCCAGCCGATACTCACGATTCAAGGGAGGTTCCGTCAAGACCGCCTCTTCCGTGACAGCCAGCGCAGCCGCCACCTCTTCTGGATCCGCGTCAAGATGTTCCCGATCAAACACATAAATCCTCTTGACGCCCGGCTGCATCCCCCTCGCACTCGCCGTCGACCCGGCCCCGTCATGTCGCGGCGTCAAGACTGCTGAACTGGCGGGCGTGTTGGCGAGGAGTGCGAGGTGTTGGACTGCTTCGTCGCGATTCAGGGGCGAGCCCTCTTCGTTCATCAGAATGAGGCATTCGGGCGGGATGGAGAGGAGCGGCGAGAGGAGGTTGTACTTGAGCTCGCCGAGACTGCGAGATCAACAGCTGGCTATGTCAGTGACTAAAGGGTTCTCTCCAGGACTCGCAGAGTTGCACGCACGTCGAGACATCCCGAAAGTCCTCCGGCAGCAACCCGAACTCTGCGCCGTCCGAACTCCTCACCACGAACAGCGACGGCTGTCGAGGGAGCTCATGGCCTTCATCATGCTCCTGCCGCGACTGCGAACGGCTCAGCATGGCGCTCTGAGCGCGGTGAGGGGAGCGAGAGCGTCCGGAGTCAGCGAGGGCGATGAGGAGGTGGGGAGTCGATGTGGCGAGCGGCGGCTTGTGCGGGCGCAGGTGTCCTGCGATAGGTGATTCGAGAGGCTCTGAGCTGTCCAAGCTTGAGCGAACACGAGCAAAAGTGGTAGGAGGGAGAGGAGGAGGTTGCGAGTGCCAGCAGGGGGAGGGCGACTGTCAGGCAGAGCAGCATCTCTGTCCGCCTAGGTCTGGATAACAGCGTGAAACTGCTGCTGAACACGAATCGAGCCAAGCCGGACAAGACTCGGTATGTAGACGAACGAAGGCGGATGGATTGCAACAACAGGTCACTGCGGGAGAGGATAGCCAGAGAGAGGGAAGTGAGGTTGTGAGAGAGTACGCCGTCATGCTGTCGTCGGGCTGGCGCCGTTCTGTGTCGGCGTCGCAGCGTCCGCCATCTCGACATCTCCGTCCAGCGCTTGAGATGTCTCCGCAGTCGCTTTGAGACTCGCTGGACTGCCTGGCGCGGCATTGTTCGCTTCGATGGTCGGCCCTGGCGCATCCTCCGCAGCGAGTACGGGCGGATTAGGCGGGCTTGCGTCCGTCGGCTGAACAGGAGGATCGGGAACTGTCGAAGACGGAGCGGAAGGGGCTGTTGCCATAGGCTGCGAAGTGCTGGCGGGCATGGCGAAGGCTTGTGGCGAACTTGGAGCGGCTGTGATAGACCAGTCAGTCGTGTTTGTCCAAGCAGGAAGTCTAAGCGAGACGAACGCACATTCCGCCTTCTCCTCCACCTTGACCCGCACCTCCGCTTTCACCTCAGGCTTCACCTCCTCCTCCATACTCTCCTCCTCAACGAACGGCACCCCCCTAGCCTCACACAAACACCTCCTCAACTCCCTCTCCACCCTCTTCCCCTTCCCCTTCCCGCTCCTCAACTCTCCTTCTAGCTTTCCAACCGGTTCACGCAGCGCAACGCGTTGCTGAAGTGTGCGGAGAACGGCGGAGGGGCGGTCTTTGCGCGGGAGACGGGTGAGGGTGGTTGAGGAGGAGAGGACGGTGGGGAGGAGGGTGTCGAGCGAGGAGAGGAGTTGGTCGCGGTCCGGCTGCGCGTCGGGACCAGTCATACAGCGTCAGTAAGCACTTCTCAGCGAGTCACAACCCACGGCAAGATGCACCGACGCGAGAAAGTCCTGCAAGAGTTGTTTCCGGAGAGCGTCGAGTCCGCCCTGCCGCTTCCACTGCTCTGCGAGCTGCTTCGGCGTGAGTTCCGGCGCAGTCGAAGATCCAGCGTTCGCCATGGCTGCTCAGCTGGCCGTCTAGCGGGAGTCGAGTGAGCGGTTCTGACCCGACTTCATCAGGAAGCGGTCTGCCTCTGCCAGTGACCCTGCTACCGCTCGGACGATGCTCAAGACCGCTGCTGGACGAAGCGCAAGGCTGATACAAGCTTCTGCGATCCCCTTAGCCCGACCCGCCGCCGTTCGCTCCTTCACCTCGTCCCCCATCTCTTCCTCGAAGCCCGCTCCTCCCTCCTCCACTCCTCCACCAGCCGGCCCCTCCTCCCGCCCAGACGGCCCCCCGTCCAAACCGCACCTCACGCCTGAAGAAGCCTCGGACAAAGCGACGGAAGAGAAGGGCACGAAACCTGCTCCGTTCCTTTCGCGCGCACTGGGGGTCGTCGAGCCTCCTAGTAAGGCGAAGAAGTCGAGGGAGGAGTGGAGGGCGGATTTGTTGAATAGGGAGAAGAGGCTTGAGGAGCGGAGGCATCTGTGCGTTTGTTCGCTCAGGTTCAAAGAGGGGAGAAGCGGACTGACGATGCTTGATCGGCGCGCAGGGTCAAGGAGGTTGCGCGAGGATACTTCCATGACTACAACGAGCTGCGGCATCAAGGCGGGAAGGCGTACATGTCGCCCAAGACGCTCATCCGGGACGAGGTGCGTTCGCCCTTTCTCCTCGTCTCTTCGCTCCTGACCCGATCAAGCGACACAGCTCGCGCTGTACTTCCCCAACATCGAAGGCATCTCCCTTGCGACGAAGGAAAAGGTGCACACGACCGACCTCTTTGAGAACAAGGTCAGCTTGGTCGCGTTCAGCAGTTTCCGCAGTGCAGAGGTGCGCTCCCTCTCCCGTCGAATGCGCTGGGTGGCATCTGATACGAGTGGACGCACACAGGAACACATCAACAGCTTTGTGCGGCCGACTCTGGCGGATTTGAAGGGCGACCCGAACTTCCAATACGTCTACGTGCGTTCGGCTGCTTGCGTTTTCCCTGCGCTGCTTCTAACACTCCACGCGCCTTGCAGATCAACCTGCAAGAGAACCCGCTCAAGTCGTTCCTGGTGTCGATGTTCCTGTCGTCGCTGCGGAAACAAGTCCCGGAGGAGTACCACCGAACATACCTCCTCTCGCACCAGTCGCTCGAGTACCTGCGCGACCCGCTGGGGATGCCGAACAAGCACGTCGGATACGTCTTCCTGGTGGACTGGCGGAAGAAGATCCGGTGGGCTGGGTGTGGGTGGGCGACGGTCGAGGAGGAAGAGGCGCTGAGACGGTGTGCGCATGTGCTCGTCCAGCGGCTGAAGCAGGGCGGGACCAAGGACGAGCCTGTCAAGAAGGCGTGAGTGGCATTACGGCGTCATTACTGCTGCATTAGAAGCGAGTTGTTGAACTTGACCTTGTGGGCCGAGTTGGCGAGGAGAGGGATGGCGAGCGAGCGAGTCTGGCAACGACCACCACACACGCTCACAGACAGACAGAGTGACTGGCACACGTCTACAGCTACTCACAGACAGCCATACTCACGCTCGAACCCGCAGACTCAGCGCACGTCGTCGTCGCCTTCCTCCCGCTCTCCTCCTCGTCCAGCAAGTCGCTGTCGCCGTGCCCGCGCACGCCACATGACCCGCGAGCGACTCAGCGCAGCAGATGTACTCGTACAGCCCGAGCCCGTCACCCGCACCCGCGTCCCCGCCGCCCAACTCGCACCTCTACTCGCCCAGTAACCAGGGGCAGCAGGGCGCGCAGGGGGCGCAGCAGTATCCAGGGGCCAGGTACTCGCTCATCAACAAGCTCCAGCAGCAGCACCACGCACACTACCCGCAAGGCCCGCACCACGTGAGTCCACCCGTCGCTCCCAGCGACAGCCACCACCCCCCGCTGACCTTGTTCGCCCTTGTCTTCCCTCACTCTCTGGCTGGTCTGTGATACGCTCGACTACTCGACTGAACGCCTACGACACCGCCAATGACCGCAATCACTCTCCGTCGACGGTTCGCACCTCGACAGCACCACCCCTCTCACTCGTTCTCCTTCCCCGGCCCTCCCGGCTCTCCCGCCTACTCGAACGGTCCAGGACACCAGCAACAACCTCACCACGCTGCCTCACTCCCTCCGCACTCCCACCACCCCGCAAACGGCGGCGGGCCTCCTCCCCAACTCGGCGGCCCTCACAACCCTCACCAGCCCCCACCGCCGCCGCCTCACCACCTCACGAGCCAGTCTGCCCCCGCTGGATCCCCTCATCCTTCTTCCGCAGCGAACGGTGGCCCGCTCCCGCCTCACTGGGCCCAGCAGCTCAGTCTCGCGCAGACGAGTCGCGCGACCAACTCGCCTCATCACCATGCCCGCGCCGCTCACCTCGCCGCGAGGGCTCAGACGACCTCGTCTGCGATCCCTATCACCGACCCGAACCGACCGGGGAGCGTCATCTTGGGGTCAAAGGCGAACGGGCTGCAGCACCGGAAAGATGCGAGTCTCGAGGAGCGGAGTTCGTCGGTTGCGTCGAACCGGACAGGCGGGTCGAAGGATGTCGGAGGAGCGAGTCCGAAGGCGGCGAGTGCGGAGGGAGTGCCGAGCAGCGCAAAGGAGAAGGACGGGAAGAACACATGGACGACGATTGACATGGGCGGAATGAACCTGAAGAACCTCTCCTCGGCCCTGTTCCGATACGACTTCCTCACGACCCTGTACATCCCTCACAACGCCCTCACCGAGCTGCCCGCAGCCATCTGCAAGCTCGCCAACCTCACCCTCCTTGACGCCTCGTCCAACAAGCTCTCCTCGCTCCCGCCCGAACTCGGCCTCCTCACCCGCCTCCGCGACCTGTTCCTCTTCGACAACCACCTCACGAACCTCCCTCCACAACTCGGCACGCTCCACCTCCTCGAGACGCTCGGAATCGAGGGCAACCCGCTCCCCGACACCCTCCGGTCCCTCATCGAGAAGGACGGCACGTCGTCCCTCATCGCCTACCTGCGCGACTCGTGCCCCGTCCCGCCTCCGCCACCCGAGCGTGCGTGGCTCACGATCGAGCCCGACTCGCTCCCCCAGCTCGACAAGCGGCCCGAAGAGACGTTCTCGCTCTTGTGCTACAACATTCTGTGCGACAAGTACGCGACGAGCCAGATGTACGGCTACACGCCTTCGTGGGCGCTCAACTGGGAGTACCGCAAGGAGCTCATCCTGCAGGAAGTGCTCAACTACGGCTCGGACATTGTCTGCCTGCAAGAGGTCGACGTCGAGCAGTACGAGACCTACTTCCTCGAGCACCTCTCGGCCAACGAGTACGACGGCGTGCACTACTCCAAGTCGCGCGCGCGGACAATGTCGGGCGACGAGAAGCGCCAGGTCGACGGCTGCGCGACCTTCTTCAAGAACACGGTGTTTGCGCTCGTCGAGCAGCACCTGATTGAGTTCAACCAGATCGCGCTCCGACGACCCGACTTCAAGAAGACCGAGGACATGTTCAACCGCGTCATGACCAAGGACAACATCGCCGTCGTGACGCTCCTCGAGCACCGCGCGTCCGGCGCCCGCCTCATGGTCGCGAACGCTCACATCCACTGGGACCCCGAGTTCCGCGACGTCAAGCTCGTCCAGGTCGCTATGCTCATGGAGGAGCTTAACAAGATCGCGAGCGACTTTAGCCGGCTGCCCGCCCGCATGAATCTCGGCGAGGGGTACGACAAGGCGCCGCACTACGCGAGCGGGAACAAGATTCCGCTCATCGTCTGCGGCGACTTCAACTCGGAGCCGTCGTCGGGCGTGTACGAGTTTCTCAATGCGGGCCGGGTCGAGCGCGACCATGCCGACTTCATGGACCACACGTACGGCGAGTACTCGACGACCGGCGCCAAGCACGCGTTCGACCTCAAGTCGGCGTACTCGCACGTCGGATCGAACGGCCACTTTGAGCTGCCTTTCACGAACTACACGCCGGGCTTCAAGGGCGAGTTGCTTGTTGTCTTGCCCGCCGCCGCCTCGACTGACGCGTTCGTTCATTCGCAGGCACGATCGACTACATCTGGTACTCGCAGCGGTCACTCGGGGTGCAGGGTCTGCTCGGCGAGCTCGATTCGAACTACCTCGCATCTACCGTCGGCCTGCCCAACTGCCACTTCCCCTCGTGCGTTCCCATCGTCCAGCCTGCTCTCAAACCGTCGAGACTGACGATTCTCGCTTCCCGCAGCGACCACATCTCGCTGCTCGCCGAGTTCAAGATCAAGCAATAGGCGACCTCTCGAATATACCTCCCTTCTCCTGTCCATCCACCTCTTCGCCCATTTCTCGACGAATCGTTGTCCTTTGTCTGTGTGTGTGTGCCAACCCTTGTGTTTGTCTTCATCGCAGTCTCGTCCTTGCCTTACAGCTCTATTTCCTCCCCCCCTCCCTCCTCCACTCCTTCCGCTTTCCCACACTCATCCTCGTTCTTCTTGGTCGCGGCGCGTTCTCAGGCCGTCGGCGTTCGTCTCGCGTCTCCTCCCCTCCCCTCCCTCGGATCTCCTGCATTGGCTGGAAAAGCCACAAGCCTCTCATCCTTTCCGTCTGCTAGCCCCTGATCTGAGGTTGCGAGAGCTACTCCTGGTTGCAAAGGCGAGAGTGCTAAGCAAGCGATGAATACGGGACAGTGCGAAAATCGAACGAAGGGAGCGACGAGGTGGAAATAAGGGCGTAAAGCGAGGGGTATCGACGTGATCAAGGAGGTATGGGTAAAGCTGTGCATAAGATCGTGTAAGAGGGGACCTCTGAGGGCACTCTAAAATCGCAACGAGCGAGGAGGCGCAGTCTTGGGTGCAGTCGAGGCGGCCTGGCCGGGCTTGACGCGCTTCGTAGTCGCTGTAGTCGAGTAAGGGACCGTCCGTAGTGGCAAAGTCGAGATAGAGGGAACCTTTGACAGTGACGACCGAGTGCGGGTTGGAGGAGCAGGTCGCGAGGCGGGACGGCGGACGTGCGAAGGCGTAGGGGACATGTTGGCTGCCGAGAAGCCGCCGAGACCAGTAAAGGCCTGCGTGATCTGCGCGCACGCAGCGTAAGTCTTCTAAGCTCCAGAGAGAGGGGGAAAGCGTCACGCACCTCTGCCAAGGGAGACTCTGTCAAGTTTCGCGCCCGCCTGTTCGCCTCGCCATCGTCGAGAACCGGCTCCTCCTCCGCCTCGAATGACGGATCCGCCTCGCTCTCGTCGCGGAAGACCGTCCCCACCTCAACCTCGACGTCATCGTCGCTTGCCCTGCCAGGACTCCGTGCGTAACCGGAGTCGACGGTAGAGAAGCTGCGATCGCCCAAGGCTGTCCGCGGCGAAGAGGGCGCAGATGTCGAAGCAAGGTTGATGTCGACGACAGGCGGAGCGCCGAAGGGGTCGAGAGAAGGGGTGCTAGAACGGCCGGACGATGCGTCTTCGGCGGGCGCTAGAGGAGGCAAGTCGGGCAAGACCCGCGTGCGTAGACTGCCGGTACAGATGCCATTTGACGACGGTAACGGCTTGGCCAGCGTCGCAGATGGCTTCGCGCCCAGCTGGCGCACGCCCTTGCCGCAACTTCCGTCGAGCGACTTTGCCCCGAGAGCCGGCTTCTTCCCCTTGCCCAAGACATCCTTTCCGATTGTCCGCCGTGCGAAAGGGTCCACGTTCTCTTTCTCCTGCACTTTCAAGCCCCGCCTGAGCCCGTCGCGAGCCTCAGAACCGTCCTTGCGTCGCGCCGTGGGTCTGTTTGTCGACAGAGCTGTCCGAGACGACGAGGTGGAAGGCGAGGGATCGGCTGTTTCGTCCCGATAGACCGCAAAGAGACCTTTCGCCATCGCTGAGTAGGCTGGCGAGGCGTTGTTGTCGAAGGTGACGCTCTGTTGATGAAGACTTCTACGGAGGGTGGAGGGGCGCGACGGACGTTCCGGCGGGCTTCTCGAAAGAGAGAGCGCGAGTAAAGATGCGCTGTAAGGTAGCAAGCAGCCCAAGAAGCACGGGAAGAGGTGTCACTCGGAAAGAGGGTGAGGAGGGGAGGGAGACCCTCCAGAGCGCAACATTCCACGACTAGCGATCATCGAGAGGCTCATTCCGCGCGACATAGCAGTCGAGCACTGTCACAGCAGCAGATACAAGGAGTGCGACCACGCGGGAATGTCGTGAACGGTTCTAAAGTTGCGAATTAGTGGGTGCTACCATCTCCAACTTCCACCCGGCGCTCAAGGCGAGGCCATGGGATCCGCGAGCGTGTCCGTCTCCTTTGCCTTGCGCTTGACGATCTTCCAGTCGTCCTCTGGCCGCCACATATCCCGCTGGAGGATGTAGACCTGGGTGAACGAGCGAGCCGCCGTCAGTTTTTTGCGGCGAGGCGTAGTGCAAGAGATCTGACACACCTCGGAAATTTCCTTCGGCGCATCGTGCGAGCCGTCGCCGATCAGCCGCCCACGGAAGTCGCGAATCTCGAGACTCTGCGGAAGACGACCTCGTCAGTCCGGCTCTCTGCACTCCGAGACGAGTGAGAACGCACCTGGAGAGTCGTGAACCGCACAGCAACCTGTCCAACAAACTCGTCCTTCTTGAAGATCTCCTGCTCGCGCATGCACAGGATCTTCTGTTCGACCACGCGATGCATCTTCCAGTCGAGCGCAAGACCCTGGAGTTTCCGATCACGCTGCGCCTTGACCTCCTCGACAACCGCACTCGATGCGTACTTGCGGAGCGAGTCGTATTTCCCCCTTGACGAGAGACCCGTCAGTTGAGGACGCGAAAACAGCGAAAGGAGCTCACTCACGATGCCAGAGCCTGATGCGTTGCCGTGTACGCTTCCAACGCCCGGAAGTTGAACTCTCGCTTCCATCCCTTGCCGAGCAGCTTCCTCCACCGCAACGCTCTGTGCACAAGGGAAAGCGTTAGCGGACAAGCAGGTCGAGGGGTGGAAGCTTACGCACACCCTGAACGACTGCACCCACTGCACGACATCGTGCCACATGTATGTCCGCCAGTTGTAAGGCGAGTCGGCGGGGATCACACGCCGGCCTCGCGGAGGGATGTAGTTCGCTGGGTGAGCGGAAGACTGGTCAGCTCAAGAAGCGTCTGACGTTGCGACAGCTGCACGCACCGAAGATGGGAACAGCAGAAGTCTGTGAAGCGTTGCATCGGAAGTAACAGATGGGTCAGCGTCTCGCGGAACAGAATGTCTGGAGGTGAAGAACGGACCATGGCGAGGTTGGCACTCTGCTTCCGGCGGCTCATCTTCTCCATGAGCCTCGCCTGCTTCTGTTGCAACTCCTTGACCGCCTCTGGTGTCGTCGCATACGCGCGCCGTGGAGTTGGCGCCGCGGATTGCTGGGAAGCGATGAAGCGGGCGGCGATGGCAGGAGCGAACGCAGCGGACGGCCGGGCAAGCTGAGCTGCGAGTGGCAGCATGGAAGAGCGTGCCGCCAGCATCGTACAAGCCGCTCGAGCGAGGAGAAGCGTGTTGCGGCGAAGCCAACCTTTGTCGGCTCTCTTCGCCTCCCTCCGTCCACTCCGAACCGCTGAGCTCGCATACAGGGGCGCCCAAGCAGACGACAGAGACTTTCCCAAGCTCTGCGAAGCGCGTGCGATGCTGAACGACGCGATAACAATGCAAATGCTGTAGATGTAAGGCGGACGAGGACAAACTACCACAAGGACGAACTACCACGAGAGCTTGGCGACCGGACCCTTCGGCCAGGCGCGAACCAGCACCTTCCTGACCTCATCCATCGCGAGTACACCAATGGCGAGAGGAATGGGCACTGTTGGGCGAAGGAAGTCAGCTAACTCGTCGAAGGCAGGCAAGACGGGGCAACGCACGAAGCCAGTGCTTGATGGGCACGCTGGCCGTCCCGAACAAGTTCTGGATGCCCTTGACCTCGGTGACGAAGATCGCGATGGCGAGCGAGATGACGGGGCCGCAGATGAGCTTCCAGTTGTGCTGAGGGCCGTTCTGGAAGATCGACATGCGCTTGTTGCGGACCGAGTTGAGGTTGGCGAATCTGCGTTGGAGCGTGTCAGTCAGTCTCTGCGGGACGTCTTGGAGGAGCTCGAACGCACTGGAGGATGACGAGAGTGACGAAGTAGACGCATTGGCCGGTGTTGAGGAAGTGGTTGAGCTCGGCTTGCGTGTGACCGAAGAAGCCGTCCGAGTACTTCTCGAACGCGAAGAACATCCGGTTGACGGGGATGCCGGCGGCCTTCCAGATGTAGAAGAAGAACATGGCGTGCGCGCAGAGGGTCTCGAGGGTGCCGATGAAGAGGTAGCTGTTGCGGTTGTAACGGGTCAGCTTGAGAACTGCAGGATGCGAGATCGCGAGGGAGCGCGACGCACGAGTGGCCGTAGACGCGGAGGTTGACGAGGCGGGACTCGTTCGGATCACGCGGTGGGAGAGAGAGGAGGTCGAACTCGGGCTTCTCGAATACGAGCATGAGGCAGCAGAACAGGTCGGTGAAGCAGCAGATGATGATCATCAGGAAACTGCTGAGCGGGAGCGGACAGCCGAAGAAGACGTTGAAGATGACTGGCCAGTCCCTGCGGAGAGCGAAACCGTCAGTCGGCGAGTCACAGGGTAGAAGACGACGGACGCACTCGGAGTAGGATCCGGCCGGCAAGAGGTACGAGATGACCTTCTGCAGGTTCTGGAAGACGAGACGACCGAGGCGTACGCCCTCGATGATGTTGGAGAAGTCGCCCATGAGGACGAGGTCGGCCGCTTCCATCGCGACTTCAGAGCCGCTAGCCATGGCAATGCCGACGTTGGCCGCCTTGAGAGCGGGTGCGTCCTGTGCGTGTGGATCGTTAGCGAGCGATTGAGCAGAGAGAGTGAAAGTCAACGCACGTTGACGCCGTCGCCCGACACTGCAACGACATTCCCGCGCGCCCGGAACTCGGTGACAATCCGAAGCTTCTGCTCGGGGGTCGTGCGAGCAAAGACGATCTCCTCATACTTGCACACAACGTCCCACTCTTGCTGCGACAGCGCCGCGATCTCCTTGCCCTCGACGACGAGTGCGCCATCGATGAAAGCGAGGCGGTCGTCGCGGACCTTCTCGAGCTGGGCGTAGCGGTCCTTCGAGGTGAAGTCGGCGATGCGGTCCGGATCGCCGCGGCGGAGGATGCCGATCTGCTGAGCGATTGCGCAGGCCGTGAGGGAGAAGTCGCCCGTGACCATCGTGAACCGGATGCCGCAGCGGCGTGCCTCCGAGACCGTGTGCGGGATGTCGACGCGGGGAGGGTCGATGATGCCGACGAGACCGATGACGGTCAGCGACGAAGCAGCAGCCTCGAGGACCTCCGTCTCGAACTCGGTCGTTCCAGGTGCGTTGGCGGGGACGAACGACCGGCGAGTGAGGATGATGACACGCTGACCCTGGCGCGAGAGAGTCTCTTGCTGGGCGACGAGGCGAGCGCGAGCATCCGCATCGAGAAGCTTGACCTCGCCGTCGTCGATGCCGGAGACGTACGAGTCGCAGCGGTCGAGGAGGATGTCGGGCGCGCCCTTGACGAGGATTTCGCCGTCTTGCGCGAGGTCGACCTTCTCGCCGGCGGGGACGACGTAGGTGAGGGCAAACTTGTTCTTCGAGTTGAACGGCAAGTCAAACGCGCGGTCGAAGCTGGACGAGACGGCTTCCAGGCCGCCGTCGAGGGCTGCGGCGAATCGAAGGAGCGCGCCGTCCGTTGCATTGCCCTGGACCTTGCGTTCGGCGATGGGCGCATCGAGCGTCGCCTGGTCGAAGAAGGCGTCGTTGCACATGATCATGCTCTTGCGGAAGTGGGCGAACGCCTTCGACTCGAGGTGCGACTTCTCGAGGTCGAGTTGCTGGTCGACATAGGCGAGCGAGACGACCGACATCTTGTTCTCGGTGAGCGTGCCGGTCTTGTCGGAGCAGATGACATTGACGCAGCCGAGGGTCTCGACGGTCGAGAGCGACTTTGGGAGGATCTTGGCGTCCCGCATGCGGCGAGCGATGAGCGAAAGAGTCATGGCGACCGCGATGGGCATGCCTTCGGGGATGAAGGCGACCACGAGCGACATGAGCTGTGAGGGTAGGCGAGGTTAGCAAAGTCGAGGAGAAACGATGAACGATGGTTCGGACTTGCGTTCGTGAGGATGCCCGTGGTGTTCAAGAAGGCGAAGTGATCAACTCGCAACCACGCGAGCCACGTAATGAGCATGATCACGACGAGGGTGACCGTCAAACCGCAAATAATCTTGACGAAGCGCGTGATCTCCTTCTGGAGGGTCGTGCGCTCTTCGGCTCCGGAGCGGGTGAGCATGTTGATGCGTCCCATGACGGTCGAGGCGCCCGTGAGGACGACGACGGCCGTTGCGGTACCGTTGCAGACGTGCGTGCCGAGGAGGGCGATGTTGCGGGCTTCGAGGAAGTTCTGCTCGTCCGTCGTGACGGCGCCGGCAACTTCCTCCGACTCGCCTGCGGGTAGCGAAGGTCTTAGCCGAGAGCTTCAAGCGCCAGAGGCGAAGTACGGCGGACGCACCCGTAAGGACGGCGCGGTCAAACTTCAAGTCGTTCGAAGCCTTGATGATGCGCATGTCGGCCGGCACCTTCTGACCGGTACTGAGGATGACGACATCGCCAACAACGAGGTCGCTACTGGGAATCTCGCGCGGCTGACCATCGCGCAAGACGACGGCGTTCTCAGGCAGGAGCGACATGATCGAGTCCATGACCTTCTGGGCGGACCAGTCTTGAAGGGCAGAGAAGATGGCCTGGCTGAAAATGACGATCAGGACGACGATGGCGAGCGCGAGGTTGTATGGTGCGGGAGGGTTGCCGAGAGGGCGCCCTGCGAATCAAGCGGTTTCAGAGTCAGCGATGAGTTCGGTAAGCATGCACAAGAGAGGAAAACGCACACGAGATGAAGAAGATGATGACGCCGATCCAGAGGATTGCGCAGAAGTCGCCAAAGACGTAACGGAGGACCTTCTTCCACCAGTCCGACTTGCGCTTGGCGAGGACGTTCTTGCCGTTGCGCTGCAGGCGCTTGCTCGCCGCCGACGAGTCGAGTCCGAGTTCGGGCGCGACGTTGAAGCGCTGGCAGACCTCGGGGGGCGAGACGGTGTGGTGGTCGAGGCGGGAGAAGAAGTCGGCGTCTGCGGCGCCGGCCTGCAACGCGTTCGGCGCCTGCTGCTCCTCGTCGCGGGACTTCTTGCGCCAGAAGGCGAGGCGCGAGGCGAGCGAGGGACCCGTGCGAGCATGGTGCCGGCGCGCAGGTTTGGGACCGTCGAACCTTTGCGAGTCGTAGACGTGGATCGAGAGTGTGCGGTAGCCGAGGGGGATGTGCGAGTTGTGGGTTCGCGTGCGGGGGACTTCGAGCCCGAGTGCGCGAGAGGGGAGCGTCTTGGTCCGCTCGAGGCGGAACTCCTTGTTGTCGACGATCGAGACCTTGGGGGCGTCCATGTCCGCCGCTCGTGACCTCGTTTTACGCGTCTGAGAGCTTGGCGAAGGCTGCGAAGGGTGGCGAGAGCGCGCAAGGGCCGTCGAGCGGTGTTGAGCGTGCGAGAGGTGTGAGTGCGGTCTTGCGACTTGGCTCGTTCGCAGGCGGCAGCAGTGCGTCTCGAAGAGCCTGAGAGTGGATCACACGAAGCAGAGAGAGAAAGAGAGGGGGAGAGAGAGCAGCGAGAGGCGAGTTTGAGGTGTCGCAGCGGGCGAAGGGCCATGGTTGAGAGGTTTCCGCTCGATCGAGGGTGCGCGTGAATTCAGCCTCGACCCACGCTGCTTCGAGTGGTAATGAGCCCGCATTACCCCCCACACGCTAGCACAGCCCCCCATCCAGCAACCCTGCGACCAGGCTCACGGTGCGAGAGCGAGCGTGCGGGAATTCATCCTGGGACGACCAGGACGAAGCGCTTTTCTTCGCTTGACGAATGCACGCGGTCAACGAGCTGAGCGAGAAAGAAATCCTTCCGTCTCGCTGCTCGTGGAAGAGCGGCCTGAGGATGTCGAGGCCAGCCAGTCAGTCAACCCGACGCAAGGTGAGGAGGAGAAGCGGACGCACCGTCTCGCTCAGGCAGGCCGGTCGCCTTCGCATCTGCAGCAAAGCCAGTCTCTTGACCTTGCTAAGAAGGGCCTGCATCTCCCTGAGCCGTTGTCGCCGCATTCGACCCGCTGTCCGCCGCAAAGCGATGAGGTCGAGCAGAACGGGGCAGGCATCCGCAACGGTTGGGCTGGATGCTCGTGCCGGTAGCAGTCACGGTCAGCCACGCAAGGTCGGCATCGCACAGTCCACTCGAGCGAGCTCGACCGCAGCGTCCTCCCACAACCTTCGCCCGCTCCTCTTGCTCTCCCCACCTCCCGCGACAATGCTCTTCTGGCTCGTGCTGGCATTGCAGTGGGCGCTACTAGTCCGACAATGCAGAACAAGCGGCACTTCGCTCCCGGCCGCGCTTGACCTCCCCTTCCTCGCCGCTCTCCTCGCATCGGTTCTCTGGCAGGGACGACGGGAAGGCTGGATATGGACGAGTGCGCTCGCGCTGTGCTCAAGTGCGCTGGCATACGGGGTCAGGACGAAGCACGTGGCTCGACTGAGGAGGCATGAAGCGAAGCCGCAGGCGCCGAAAGACGCTTCGAAGAGTTCAGTCGTCTATCGCTACAAGATGGTGCGCTCCCCTTCTCTGACAGCAAACCCACTGCATGCTTACGAACCTTGGAACGCAGTTGCCGGCTGAATGCGACGAGCACGGTCGCGTCTAGTCGGTCATCCCTTTTCCTCCTTCTCCAGCTCGACTGACCCGACTCGCTCACAGTGGCGGCGAGCTCCTCAAACTTATCGACGTCTCGGCAGGTCTCGTTGCAGCCAAGCACGCAGGCGGTCCTTGCTTGACCATCAGCGCGGATCGCGTTATCTTCCTCGAGGAGATTCGGGTCGGAGACGTGATCTCGCTCTCGAGTGCGGTCAACAGGGCTTGGGGGAGGTGCGTCTCGTCGTGCTATCATTGTGCACACTCGTACTGATCTACGTCGCAGCTCGATGGAGATTGGCGTTCGAGTAATGCGCCAATCCCGCACCGACCCGCTCGGCCCCGAAACGTACTGCTCGCACGCGTACCTCACCTTCGTCGCCAAGCCCTCTCCACCGCCTCCTCCCGGCTCCTTCCTGTCCTTGACCGACGCCATCGGCCTCACTCGCCCGCCCAAACCCCGCCGCGCCCAACTCCCCGAACTCAAGCCCTCCTCCCTCCTCGAACAGAAACGCTACCTCCTCGCAGGCCGTCGTCGCGCGCACCGCATCAAACAAGCGAAGGAGAACGACCGGCGAAACTCTGCGTTCCGCGAGCAGGTCTACGCAATCGAGCGCGAGTCGAGGCAGGGCGCTGCAGCGGCTGTGGACGAGCAATTCGCGGACCGCGCGGCGTTGTTGGGTCAGTTGCAGGTCGAGTTGTTGAGTGAGATGTTCATGCGGGGCGAGTCGGATGTCCGAGTCGACGGCGACGAGATTATTGGCGAGATTGAGGGATTCGTCGAGCCTGTCCGCGTCAAGAAGGCGCTTGTCGACCGGGCGGTACTCGCGAAGGGCCACGGCGGGTGGCACAAGATCTCGCTCGCGACGGACGAAGACATCGACCGTGCGGCGGGGCATACGACGCGCGTCTCGCTCGACCCGCACGTACAGGCCGCCGCCTCGATCGTCTCGTCCGTCCCGTTCGAGGCGACGCTGTCGATGGGCTTGTGGATCGTCAGGCCACAGCATTGCAACTCAAAGTCGATCTTGTTCGGCGGGACCCTGATGCGCTGGTCCGTCCTGGCGCTCTTTCCCGCTCCCCGGCAAAACTGACTGCCGCTCCGCACAGGGTCGAAGAAGTCTCCACCATCGCCGCTCGCCGCGTCTACCCTACCGCATCCTGGTCAAGCGCCGCCATCGACTCGTTGACGTTCAAGACGGCCGTCCAGCCGGGCGAGGTCGTCTATGTTAGGGCGGCGGTGATCAAGGTCTTTGATTCGTCGCTTGAGGTGGCGGCTGTCGTTACTTGCGGTGCGTGTCGATTTGCACTTGTGGGGGCGAAGCTGACGAGATCCTTCTCGTCGGGCAGAGGATCGCAATTCGCCCAGCCCGAAAATCCGCGAGGTCTCCGAATCCTTCTTCACGCTCGTGCGCTCTCCTTCTCCTTCCTCTCCTTGCTTTAAGCCGTCTGACCCGTATCGGACGCGCCGGGACAGGTCGCCATGGACCCCTCCTCCGGCCGCCCGCTCAAAGGCGTCCTCCGACACGTCGAGCTGCCTCCCTCCGGTCCCGTCACCGAACTTGCCTCGCTCGCGCAAAAGCGCAGGGACGACAGGTTGCTCGATAAGCGGATACTGCAGAGGTGCGTCTCGACTTTTCGCCCTCGACTTCGCTCGAGGCTGACGAGCTTGCGGCGGCCAGGGTCTATGCATGAACTTGGTGGTGCAGGATACAGCTCGATGCATTACATACATTGTGCTATCTCGATGCTTCGGACTCGGACTGGATGCTACGACAATCCTGGACGCTGGACGAACGAACGCGGTCAAAATAAGGTATGCGAGGCGGCAGGCGCGGCGATATAGCGAAGCAGTCGGAAGGAGGGAAGAGAAGGAGTGTCTGTTGATGCTGAGGCTGAGGCTGGCTATGCTGAGGATGCGGGTCAGGGAGTCGAGTCTAGGCGCACTGCGGCGTCTCGGAAATGCTGGTCGTGCTGCTCTCGCCGTTGCGGTGGTGGGGCTGACGGAACCCGAAGTCGCTCGTCCGGCTCGAGATGGATGTTGAGGCGGTGGCTCTAGACGAGGCGGTGGGATTGAAGCGGAGCGCGGGCGACGCCGCGGTGAAGGAGCGGAAGGTGGGTGTGAGGGATGGTGCGGAGGCGGATGAGGGCGAGGAGCAGGGAGGGCGGAAGTTGGGCTCGTCACGGATGGCGGAAAGAGGGTAGCGGGAGGACCTGCGACGGACGAAGCCGGCGTCAGGAATAGCTCGCGAGACGCAGGACGGGGAGGACGAACTGGGGAAGGTCGAAGTCAGCGTCAGCCTGGCGCCCCTGCCTCTTCCACGCCGACAAGGCGAGGAGCGACTTCGATTGTGACGAGTAGGCGACGAGCTGTGGCGGGTTGTCGACGGACGAAGGCGGAATTGGGAAGTGTCTTGCGGGACGGGCAGGTTCGCTCCTGGCGAGACGCTTGTGCTTGATCCGACAAGGCGCCTTCTTCGTCTTGATGTCGGAGTGATTCACGTCGTGCGCAACCTGGACGACGCCTTGCCCCGTCTTCGTGGCTGGACGAGGGCGTTTCGGCGGCGGAGCGACCGACCCCCGCTCCTCGACCTTCCCGCAATCATCCTTCTCCTCGACCGCCTTCTGCTTCGACCGAGTCGTTGGGGCGCCCTTCTGGATGTGCTCGCTCGGGCTCTCCCAGACGAGGGGAGGTGGACGAGGTCTGCGAAAACGAGTTAGGAAGGTCAGTCGCTTTTTTCGTTCTTCCTGCTCGCCGGCGAATGAGGACGCACTTGGAGGACTCGAGCGCGCTGTTGAGTACGCTGAGATTGAGCTGGACGTGCGAGGTGGGAGAGTGAGACGGTGTCGAGGCGGGAGGAGCGGGAGGAGGGAGAACCGGGGTGTAGATTTGCGTTGGCGAGCTTGCGTCGTGTGCGTACTTGACGGTGCCAATGGTGCATGTTGTCCCGTGTCGACAGCCTGTGAGAGGGGAGGGTAAGCGGGCGAGAGTCGGACGGAGAGGAGGAACGGACGTACAGGCGTCGCAAGGAGGCCCCGTCTCGAACGCCGAGCAGCGTACGCGACGTCGTCTACATCTGCGACAAGGAGCAGGGAGAGGTCAGTATAGCAGCTGACAAAGGTGACAGCATCCTGCTTCTTGACGGGTCGAAGTCTCCCTCCTCCCTCGCGCTCGCTACGCAGATAGAGACGGGACGCACTCCTCGCAAGCCGCCGGACGGTTCTTCCTCACGCTCGTCGTACCCTGCCGCAACTGCACCGGGCCATCTCGCGGCCAGCAGTCGTGCGCCTCACAATCTCCGGGCGAAGTGCAGAGCGCAGCTGCCGCCATCGCTGGGCGGGGCGGTCGCGTCGGCAGTGTCGTTCAGACGTCAAAAGAGAGCGGTAGCGAGCGAGCGAGGGTTCAGAAAGAGGGAGAGGAATGAGGCAGAGCATCGTCGAGACCAGCGTGATTGCTCGTCAACCGCGGAGAGACAGCTGGATCGTCGTGAAGGGGCGGGAGGGAGACCGAGGGAGTCGCAGATGTCCCACAGAGTGAATTCAGCTCAGCGGCAAGCCTCGCTGAGCGGTTGAGCGGACGGTGTGAGGGCGAGCGGGACGAAGCCAACCTGGGAGGAAGTGACATCGCCTCGACAGCTCGCAACCGCCTCGTTCGCGCCAAGTGAGCGTGTCTGACGGGTTCACACGCTCAAAAGCCTGTCTAGCAAGCCCCGCTGGCCGTCTACGCGCTTGAGCTGGGTGGTCGACCCGTCGCACTGGCCCCCTTCGCTTCTCTCCCTCCTTCACCTCACTCGCACTCGACAACTCGTCGCAGACAGGTGCGTGCGCGTGCTGAAGCACCCTCAAGCACCGTAGCAGCCACCCAGGACCAGTCCCACGCGCGCCCGGTCGCCGGCGCCGCCGTTCGACGCTGACTCCTGTCGTCCCCACCCACCTCCCAGCTCGACCTCGTCACCCGCGCACCTCACACACAGCGAGTCGCCCTCACTCGACGCGTCTGACGCGCAGCTGACCCCGCTCGCCTCGTCCGCAGACTCTCACCTCGATCCACGATGGCCCACAAGAGTACCGCTTCCAAGGGTCCTGCCTCGTCCGCCGGAGCGACGGGCGGCAAGGCGCCGCAGAAGACGGCCAAGAAGGCCATCAAGAGCACCGACGGAGGTGAGAAGAAGAAGCGCAAGAGGACTCGCAAGGAGACCTAGTGCGTACCGCGTCCTCCCGCTCGCGCTGGCGGCAGTCCTGCGTCGCTGACTTCTCCGTGCACCTCGCCTGGCCACGCACAGCTCCTCGTACATCTACAAGGTCCTCAAGCAGGTCCACCCCGACACGGGCATCTCGAACAAGGCGATGCTCATCCTCAACTCGTTCGTCAACGACATCTTTGAGCGCATCGGTGTGTCTGCGTCCTTGCTCTCTGTTCCTGGACTCTTGAGCTGACCCGACTGTCCGCCCTGCTCGCGCAGCCACCGAGGCGTCGAAGCTCGCCCAGTACAACAAGAAGGCGACCATCTCGTCGCGCGAGATCCAGACGGCCGTCCGCCTCATCCTCCCCGGAGAGCTCTCGAAGCACGCCATCTCGGAGGGCACCAAAGCCGTCACGAAGGTGAGTCGGAGGAGAAGCGGGTTGTTTCCTCGACTTGGGCTGACCTTCCCTTCCGGCCTCCTCACGCAGTTCTCGAGCAACAAGTGAGGGTCGCTCACCACGCCTCCTCGCTTCGCTTCCTCTCCTTTCTCGCTTGAGTAGTCCCGAAGTCGCTTGAAGTCTACCTCTTCCTGTTGTCACCGTTCTCCTTGCTTCGCCTCGGAGAGACTAGTCTCATCCGACGCCTGGCGCCTCGTGCTGCCTCCTACTTGCCGGCACCTCACTCCCGCAATGTTCACAAGCCACACGACGCCCTTGTTCGTTCACACCGACGACCTCTCAACTTCGCCTCGTCCCCGCGCCGCGACCCGCTTCATCAGCTTGCGCTCCTTCCTCTCGCTCGAAAGGGTCGCCAGCTGGCCATGAGCACACACGAAGCGCTCATTCACTGCTCCTGCACCGCGCCCTTCTCCGTCTCGCGCCCACCGCCGTCTGACCCGCCCCTCGCGTTCTTCCAACACCACTCGCTCTCGGACCTCTTGTTCTGCGAGGACTGCGACGCCGTGCGCTGCAACTCGTGCGCGGCGTGCGAGGTCGCTTGCTACTATTGCCCCAACTGCTTGTTCGAGGTCCCGAGCGCCAGCGTGCGAGGCGAGAAGAACAGGTGCGGTCCCCTCATCCTCCTCGAGGCGAGCTGTGCGGGAGGAGAGCTGACTAGGCTCTCACTCGACAGATGCGCACGCAACTGCTTCCAGTGCCCACAATGCGACCACACCCTCTCAGTCGTCGCATCCGACCCCGCTCCGTCCCTCCCTCTCAACACGGCTGCAGCGAGCGTCGGCGAACCGCCCTACTTTCTCACGTGCACATTCTGTCGATGGGACTCGAAGGAGGTTGGGATCGAGTTTGAGAAGCCGACGGGACTCGCGCGTGCGTTCCGAGCGCCATTCGCCCCTCTCGGAGTGGTTTCCAGCTGACCTCGCTTCCCGACGTCCCACAGTCCAGCTGCAGAAAGCCGAGGAACCAACGGCCGACCTCCTCGAGTTCGACCACATCAAAGACCACCTCGAACCCTTTCTCCGCCGCTCCCAAGCGCAATCTACGTCGTCCGCCCACACCCACGCAGCCGGCGCTTCCTCCTCATCCGCCGTTCTGAGTGCCGCCTCGGCTCAGCTGTTCAGGGACGTACCTGGACTGGGAACGAGGTATGGCGGGAGTGGATCGCTGTTCGGGACGGGTAGTCGCGCCCGAGGAGGAGGAGGCGATGCGGGACAAGCGGCCGACGAACTCGAGCGGTACTCGAGTCTGTACCCCTCGCGCGGTGGAGGGCCGGGAAGCGAGAAGGAGAACCACAGGACGAGGGCGGCGAGTAAGGGAAAGGCGGTGGACAGGGATGCGGAGGTGGTTGCGAGGATGAGGGAGATGACGAATTTCGAGGAGATTGCGAGTTTGGATCGGCGGTGGACTGCCGGGTGGCAGCCGCCTGTATTCTCGAGGTACGCGGCCGATGCCGTTCCCCGGGTCGGCTCGCCAGCTGATGTCCTCTGACCCGCAGCGAACTTCGCCCACTCCGCACTCCTCTCCAAGCGAAACTCTCCAAGCGCTGCCCAGTCTGCATGCACATCCTGATCAAGCCGGAACAGAAGTCCTCCTCAACGCGATACAAGATCAAGCTCGTCGCGGCGAACTACCTCCCGTCCATCTCGATCCAGCGACGGCTGCCTGCGTCGATTGGGTCACGCTTGTCGGCCATCGCGGCGGGGACTGCGTCGGGGCTCAGGAGGACTGCGCGGACCGGTGCAGGACGAGACGACGGGAGTGGAGCGGGCGATGAAGAGCCTCTCCGACCAGGTCGAACGTATACCTTCGAGCTGAGCTTCACAAACCCCCTCTACGAGCCAATCCACGTCCGCCTCGCCGTCGCACGACCAGGTGCGAACAAGCCCGTCGAAGAGGGGCAGCAACCCCCGCCTCCGCCATTCGCTGTCAACCTGCCTTCACCGACTTTTCCGATTGCGGCCTATGCGGAGGATTGGGAGTATGAGGATCAGGAGGACGAGGAGGATGCGGGTGGCGAGGAGGGAGATGGGAGGGCGAGTCCGACGAAGCGCAAGGGGAGGGGCGGGCCAGGGATCGTCGAGCGCAAGATGAACCGGACGACGATTGCGATGGACGTCGCGATAGCCAAGGACGCCGTCGGTCCCTTGCGCGGGCGTGTACCCTCTACCTCACACCTCCTTTCCCTCGCTGACCGCCTCATCTCACAGGCCAACATGCTCGTCACGTACGTCTACCAAGCCGACGACGCTGTCCCTCCCTCTCCGACCAAGAGTCCGCAAAAAGGCGGCAGCAAGGCGCAAGACGTCAAGACGTTCTCGTTCTGGACCCTCGTGCCGCTCGGAACGGTCGTGCCCCGCCCCGCGACGGAGCCAAGGAGGTCGATGGCGGTCAGTAGCGGGAGTGCGGCGTGAGCAGTCGGGTTGCGCAGTCGTTGCAAGTCGCAAGCGCAACGTCGAGCACTCGATACGCCTATAAGCTTGGAGGTCAGCGGATGGCAAGTGAGCGGGTCGAGAGAGAGCGCGAGCTCCTGGGAGAGTGATCCCGCTGCCTCGGCTCCTGGATCCCGCTGCCTCGGCTCCTGCACCAGCTTCCTCGACGTAAGAAAAGCTTCACACTCTGATAAGCAAGAGCAGAGAGCTGCCCAGCGACGACGGGCAAAAAGAGAAGCTTGTACTGTGTCTTCCCCGACGGGGAATCGAACCCCGCTCGCGGCTGTGAGAGAGCCGAATCATAACCACTAGACCATCGAGGACTTGCTTGTAAGCAGCTCCCAGCAGTACGTACAGACGCGACGCCCAGCTTGAGTTCCTACCTCGTTGCCTTCGCCCTTGCGTCTTCCGCATCGCTTCCGCCTCCGATGGCTCGCACACTCTCGTCGGTCGAGGACTACAAGGAGCTCGTCGACCGCTACGACACCTGGCTGTTCGAGTCTGTCCTGCGCCCATCCCGCCCGCGTCTCCCTCCGCTGACATCGCTCGCTTCGGCACCACCTCCCGATTCTCCTTCTCCAGCTGCGACGGCGTGATCTGGGAGGGCGACCATGTGATCGGCAAGGCTGGGGACACGCTGCAGTACCTGCGCAAGCAGGGCAAGCGCATCTTTTTCGTCACCAACAACGCGACAAAGAGTCGGGCCAGCAACAAGGGCAAGTTTGACAAGATGGGCATCGAGTGCAAGGTCGTGAGTGCAGTCTCAGCATCTCTTGAGGTTGTTGCTCACGCTCCTCGACCCGCAGGACGAGATCTTCACGTCCGCATACGCTTCTGCCGCCTACCTCAAGACGGTCCTCAAGTTCCCGGCGGACAAGAAGGTCTATGTTATCGGCGAAAAGGGAATTGAGGACGAGCTGGATGCTGTTGGCATACAGCACTCGGGCGGGACGGTGCGGACTCCACCCGCTGGTGCCAAAAGGCTCGCGACTGACCCTCTCTTCGCAGAACCCCGACGACAACGTCTTCATCGACCTGATGGACTTCTCCTCCATCACCGCCGACCCCAGTGTCGGCGCCGTGCTGTGCGGCCTCGACATGCACATGAACTACAAGAAATTCGCCAAGGCGTTCCGGTACTTGCGCGAGAACGAGGGGTGCCACTTCATGGCGACCAACCTCGACTCGACGTTCCCTACGCACGGCACCGTACACCCAGGTGCGTCGGTTCACTGAGACTGGGGTGCCAAGCTGACTGTGCATCTCCGCAGGCGGCGGCGCGACGGTGGCTCCTTTATCCTGCGCTCTCGGGCGGGAACCGCTCGTCGTGGGAAAGCCCGAGGCGCCCATGCTCGAGAGCATCGTCGAGATGTGCGTAGCAGCTGCGCTACCGAGCTGCATCGTCTGACAGTCTCTATCGCAGGCACCACCTTGACAAGAGCAAGATGATTATGGTCGGAGACCGCCTGAACACGGACATCGCGTTCGGCAACCAGGGAGGGATCGCGACGCTCATGGTGTTAACTGGTGCGTCTCCAAAAGTCCCTGCCTCGACGGCTGCTGACCCTCCGCGCCCGCAGGCATCGACAAACGGGAAGACTTTGAGAAGGAGGGCGCCGTCGCTCGCCCGACTTATGTTGTAGACGCGCTGGGTGACATGGCTGCCCTCGCACAACGATAGACAGAAGCAATAGACGAGTTTATACCGTTCGCATCGCTCCCTCGAGAGGTCCGCACAGCCTCGAGCTGCTTCTCTCGCTCACTCTCCTCGCTCACACCGCTCGAACGGATGCGATAGCATGCCAGGAGGCTCCAGCATCGGCTTGAGCCGTCCCTCGATAGCCACGCCCTTCGCACGACAGCAGCACAAGCGTGATCTCAGCGGGTTTCTCGACGGCGGGACGAAATACAGCACGCGGCGGCAGGGTGGAGCTGGGACGGCGTTGCTGAGCTGGAGAACATTGCGCTATGCTGCTGGACTGGTCGTCGTAGCCGTGCGTGCTGTTCTCTCTCGCCTCGTTCCCTCCAGCTGATCAAGCGGGGAACGCTCCTCTCTTCTCGCAGGTCCTGTTCTTCGTGTGGACGTACGAGGTGCACGTCGAGATCCAGCTCTTCTCGCGCGGATGGGTTCGCCAGTCGATTCTTCCCGTCCGCCCCGCCTCGTCCTCCTGCTTCGACCCCTCTCGAATCGCATCGTCCTCCTACAACACCTCTCTCGCCCGAGCCCCGGCCTTCGTCGACGTTCATGCGGGCATGAACATGCCTCTCGGCCGGGACTGCTACGACTTTGCGGCGACCTTGCCTCGAAATCCTCTTCCGGGCATGGTCCTCCCTGAACACACAATCTTCCACACCTACTGGCGAAACGACCTCCTCCCTCTGTCCGACCGGCAAATAGCACTCCTCCATTCCATACTCGCGACACAGAATCGCGATACCACCTCGGTCATCCTCTGGACGAACGCGCCGCAGCCTTCCGCCCTTACCGACCTTCCCATCCTCCGACCCCTCCTCGAGCTCTACGGAGACCGCCTCTCCGTCCGATCCGTCGACAAGCATGCGCTGGCGCGTGGTACGCCGATGGAAGGACACAAGCTGCTCGACATGGCGGACAAGCAGGCTTGGGTCGACGGAGACCTCGTCCGGATCCTCGTGCTCAACTATGTCGGAGGGATCTGGGTCGATTTTGATACGATTTTAACGGGGAGGGATCTGCGGGTGCTGGGGGAGCACGAGTGGGTGACGCAGTGGGATTGCTACGGTTCGTCCCGTCTTTCACTGTCTCCTCTTCCATCGACTGACGCCGATTTCGCACTCAGACAAAGTCTACCAACCCTTGAACGGCGCCATGATGCACTTCTACCGCCAATCGCCCTACCTCTGCGAGATGCTCCACCAAATGGCGACCTCGCCTCCTCCCGCGCGCAACTCGGTCGACTGGGGTTCGCGTCTGTACCATAAAGTCTGGCGCTCACTCGTAGCGCAGGGCACCAAGCCCTTCAAGATCCTTCCCTACTGCTTCACCGACGGCGTCTCGTGTCGACTCGACAACCGCCTGCCGGACCCGTTTGGCGAGCGAGGGGCGGAGAAGAGGTGGGGCAAGGGAAGGTGGGAGGACGTCGAGAGCAAGGTCAAGAACGTGTGGGCTGTCCATCTGCACAACAGGTGGGACAAGCAGTTCCCGAAGGGAGGGTGGGTCGACGAGATGATCCTCAAGCCGGTCAACGAGCGGGTTGAGCGGTATCGAGCGGGTGTAGGCATGTAACGAGCATCGCATCGCATCGCATCGGCATCGAGAACGAGCACTCTCCAAAGTTGGGCCGAGATGACCCGACGAAAGGACAGCCTCTGATGCAGGCGGTGTATTAGGTGGAGCTACTCAGGCATGCGAAAATACGAGGATCAAGGTGCTATAACGAGGATCTAAGGATGCGGGTCTACGGGAGGAGGAGCGAGATTTAGACAGTCGCGTCGTCGTCTGCGTCGCGGACCTGCGCGAGCGCGGCCATCTTCTGCTTGCGCATGCGGTTGGCCTTGCGGATGCCGAAGCCGGTGAGGAAGACTTCGCGCGTCTCTTCGAGCGAGAGGCCGGACGTCTCGGGGTAGAGGAAGAAGACAAAGATCGAGCCGAGGAAGCACAATCCGGCGTAGAAGCCGAATGCGCCGGCGGCTGTGATGCGGTCGATGAGCGAGAGGAAGGTCGAACCGATGATGAGGTTGCCGCCCCAGTTGCAGGTGGTCGAGAGTGCCGTGCCCATGCCGCGAACATCCATCTCGAACAGCTCGCCCTGCTGCCAGGGGATGTTGCCGATGCCCGTCGCGTAGAAGGCGACGTAGACGAGCATCGCCGTAAGGACCACAGGCGACCAATTATCGTTGAGACCGGCACCGTTGTCGGGCAACTTGCCGCCGGTGTGGATAGTGAGGAAGTGGAAGGCGACCGCGGCGAGGATCAGCGCGCCGCACATGCCCGGGACGGTCGAGCAGGCGATCCTGCGCCTGCCGGCGCGGTCGATGATGAAGAGGGCGACGATGGTGAAGACCAGGTTGACAATCGAGATGACAAGGCCGATGACGAGCGAGTTGTGGAAGCCGACGCTCTGGAAGAGAGTCGGGGCGTAGTACCTGCACGGACGACGAGTCAGCTATGCTCGAGAGGCAGGCAGACGCGGAGTGCGACCCACATAAGCGTGTTGAAACCGCAGAGCTGCTGGATGCCTTGGAGACCGCATGCGACGACAAGCGCGCGGAAGTTCGGCCCGTTGAGATGCAGGCGCTTCCAGGTCTGCACGAACGTCGCACGGTGTCCCATATTCTCTTTGACGCTCTTGGTGATGACATCGGCCTTGAGGTGCAGCTGCTCCTCGGTTGCATAGGGGTAGATCTTGCGGAGGATGTTAATAGTCGCCTCAAGCTTGTCGTGGCGGAGGAGGAAGCGAGGCGATTCGGGAAGGTAGATGAGCATGAGAAGCTGGAGTGCGGGAGGGATGGCGCCGAGGCCGACCATGAATCGCCAGCCGTGCGTGACGTTCTGGAAGGCGAGGTTGAGGCAGTAGGCGATGACCTGGCCGCCGGTGATGGCGACCACGTTGAGCGTGACGAGGCGGCCGCGAAGCGATGTGGGCGAGAGCTCGCCGATGTAGAGCGGGACGACGAGCGAGGCGAGACCGACACCGAAACCGATGATCAGGCGTCCGACCGCCATGATCCAGTACGCGTTTGCACCGTAAGAGACGGCTTGAAGGACTGTCGAGGAAAAGGAAGTCAGACTAGCGGGCAGGGAGCGGGAGAAGGAGGCAACGAACCGGCACCAATGATAAAGATCGCGTCTGCCAGACCGATGACGATCTTGCGGCCGATAATGTCCGCCTGTATGAGTCTTGTCAGCCTTCTGTTGCAGAGCGAACGAAGAGGGAAACGCACGAGAACGCCAGACGAGAAGCCGGCAATCAAGGCGCCGAGGGTGGTAGCGGAAGTAAGCAGCTGCGTGATCGTGGTGTGTCAGCATTGTGGCGAGGCTATCTGCTCGGTACGGCTCACCTCCTTGTCGAAGCTGCCGAGCGGGACGCGGTGCAAGTCGGAAGCGACATCCTTGTGAACGAGGGCGCCGCCGATGACACCGGTCTGCGAGAATGAGCTCGTCAGCACCCGCTGAGACGCTCGAATATACACAGGCAACTCACGTCGTAACCGAAGAGGAGACCGCCTGTCGCGGCAGCAATTACGAGCCACCAGACGAAGAAGGTGGTGCGCTCCTCTCCTTCGGCGCGGACGACCGATTCGTCAACCTCGAGACGCGACTGGCTAAGGTGCTTGAGCGTCGCCGTGTTGTTGAGCTTGTCAAAGTCGAGCTCGCCGGACGAGTTGGACCGGGCGGACGGGGCCTTGTCGGGTCCGAGAAGGGGAGCGGGCGGGGTGGAACTCATGGTCGAGGGCAAGGTGAAGTGTGAACGAGAGAATGACGAGTGTGTGTTCAGTCGTGGTGTCTTTCACCGGGCGCAGAGGTCTTCCTGGAGCTGCAGGCGGGGATGTCAAGGTCAGCGGGCGGATGTCGTCCGGCGACGGCCAAGTCGAGTGAAGCGCGACGACGACGCACCCGCGGTGAGAGTTGTGAGACGAGCTGTTGCGTGTGAACGAGTGTGTGTGGATCCAGGATAGCAGCGCAGGGTCAGGCAAGCGCAAGGAGCGAGTTGGGGAGCATCGAGAGCACCAAGCGAGAGTTAGCTCGCGAGCGGTGGACGTGCGTGGGGGAGAGCACGGGAACACGGCGACGCACAACAGCTGTGTGCCGAAAATCTTGGCTGTCTGCGCGATGCGGAGGCGAGCTGGCGCGGTCGTGTGTTTGTGGCCGGAGAGGAGGAGCCTCGCGTCGCAATAGAAACCGGTACTAATCGTCGTTTGTAATGCAAGGTTCGACTCTTTACGGATGGCTTCAACCCTTGTTCTGCGGTCAACAACGACAGCGTCAGGATTCGCAGGCCTCGCGAAGGTGATGACGAAGCCGGGCGAACGCACCTTCATCTCGCGGAGGACGCCCATCGCCTTGATCGGATCGGTCGTGTTCGTCGCCTCTGCAAGGACAGCACGGTTAACGAAGTCGAAGAAACGGATAGGAGCGCCGCAACCGGTATGCGCACTCTGCACGGCTGGGCTCGAGGTGCGCATGAATACGTTCCACTCCTTCTCGTCGCCGATCGTGCTCTTGCCGGTCGTGACGTCGTTCTCCTGCGTCAAGGCCTTAATCGGAATTCAACAAGCAGGGAGAAGGTGCTGAAACGGACCTTGCAGAACTGCTCGAGCTTCAGGATGGCAGGGTTCTCCGGGTCGACCTTCTTCGAGAACGCAACGCTGGGCGACACCAGCCTCGTCAGTTGCTGAGAAACCATCAAAGAACGTGCCAGCTTACTTGCTGGTCGTGTACTCGTGGCCGCAGTAGACCTTCGTATCGTCCGGCAGCGACGCGAGCTTCTCGTTCAGGGCGACGTGCATTTCCTGCGGCTCCCCCTCGAAAAAGCGACCGCAACCGCTGATGAAGAGGGTGTCTCTGCAAGGGGACAAGACGCGTCAGCGCTCCGGAGTAGACGCGCGGTCGCAGAGCAAGGGAAAGTACCCGGTGAAGACGGCCCGCTCGTTCTTTGCCTTGTCCTCGATGTAGTAGCAGATGTGGTCGCGAGTGCTGCGTTTCAGGCGGTCAGCTTGCCTCTCGCTACCGGAGATGCGAGCGAGGGGACGAACTGGCAGGGAGTATACACGGCCGTAACGTCGAGCTCGCCAATCTTGAACTTGTCGCCGTCTTTCAGCTGTTCGCGCGAATCCCTGTGTCAGTATTGCGCATGCGACAAGGCGACAGCAAAGGGGAAGCGCAAAAGGAACGCTATACGCACGACTTCAGTGACAGCCGAGACGTTCTCGCCGCCAGCGTACACCTTGATGTTCGGGTAGCTGCGAAAACCAACCCCGCTGTTAGCAGGGTTCATCTCGAGATTGCGACACCGAACGCACAGCTGCGTCGTCTTCTCGTTCCCGCCAGCATGGTCGTGGTGGCCATGCGTGGTGAGCAAGAACTGTCCGAGTCGGACGCCCTCCTTCTCAGCGGCTGCCTGGAGCTTCGGCGGGTCGAAGGGGTCGACAACCGCGGTCGTCTTGGTCTGCGTGCGAGAGGAGCAGGAGGAGAGAAAGGGTCAGCGCAAGTGCAAAGCAGGTTCGCCTGAACAGCTCGAACACACCTTCTCGTCGATGATGAGGTACTCGTAGTTGTCGCTCTGCGTGGGAGGCAGCCAATCCAGCGATTCGCGAAGTCGGGAGGAGGTGGGGGAAACGAAGTGTCAGCGAGCGAGCGAGCGATTTGACTGGTTCGCTACCCACACGGCAGGGTACAGGGACAACACGCATACTGGCCCTGTGGATCCGAGATGTCTGTCAACCGTTGTCGAGGCGCTGAGGCGGGTGGAGGCGTCAAGCGACGTCAAGGTGAGAAGGGGAAGCGGGACGCACGGTGTGGAAGAGCTGATGGAGCGTGAGACTAATGGAAGAACGGATCGAGGGGTCGAGCGAAGCAGGCGAGCACCGAGCATGCAGGCGAGGAGGGCAACGAGGAAAGGTCGAAGATGGACGCCGCCTCGAAGCATGCGATGCCAGTTGTTGATCAAGGGCGACGAATGCAAGTTGCAGTGGGTATGGCAAGAGACAGGCGAGAATGCGAGCGAGGTGATATACAGAGAGAAAGACGAGGAGAAGTTACGGGGCGTCAAGCCTGACGGCGCTCCCGCTCCGCCTCGAAAAAGCCCTCGATGTGGTCCTTGGTGATGGTCGTACCAGACGTGGCGAGAGGGCGGAGGTATTCCTTCAGGCGGTCACTGTTTCGCCGAAGTTGGTCAGTCCGAAGTCCCGTTGTTCACGTATTGGAGCGCCGAGTTCTGGCTCACCTGAGTGTCGTGAAAGCCTGAATCGAGTCGATGGCCTGGCCGCGAGGCATGCGGTTGAGGAGGTGGTCCATTCCGAGGTCGAACGTGGATTTCTCTGCCACGAGAGTCAGCGGGAACTCTACATGCGGCGGACGCAACACTCACGAGCGTCCGGATCTTCAGGCGGCTCGTATACGTCCTCTTCGTCGAGCAAGTAGGGGAAGTTGACGAAGGAGGGTAGGCACTGCGGAGACGAAAAGTCAGGCTGGAACGCTCAGTACAGAGGACCGCTTCGTACCTGTCGGCACCGGCACCAGGTCGACGTGAAATTGTCGGCGAGAAAGACGTTTGAGCGACCGCCGGCTGCTTCGAGTTTGGCGAGCGGCGTTTCTCCTGGCGGGACGAGGGGAGGCGCTTGACACTCGCTGGGCTGGGCGCTCGCAGGCGGCATTTCGGTCGTCTGGCGAACCGACGACTCGTGCGCGTCAGATGTCGCCGGATCGGGACGAGCTTGTTTGGGATTCGAAGCGGGCTGAGGCGAAGAGTCGACCTTGGCCTTCTTCGCTGGCCGCTCCTCCACGCCGTCATCGGCATCTGCCCTCCGCTTCTCAGCAGCTGGCTCGTCATTGGCGTTCGCCTGGCCGTCCACAGCGTCTCCTTCGGCCTCATCAGCCTCGGCCACCTTCGAGTCTGACGCAAGTCGCCCCGTTACCGTCCCATCAGGCGCGACGAGCATGACGCCCGTTCCTTTCACACCTGCATACCGCTCGAGTATCCGCCTGACCTCGCTGTTCCCGCGCATACACCGCTGGCACACCATCGTGTCAAACTCGTCCTGCGGGAGCGGCGGCTCGGAGTCGGACGTGCCAAAGACGCAGGACTCGTGCAGCCAGTCTTCGCAGACCAAGCACTGCAGCATGTCCTCGACTTCAGTGTGGGGGTCGTAAGGTCTGCCGCAGAAGCAGAAGACGCCCTTGAAGTTTTTGTCGTATCGGTTGCGAGTATTGGCTGGTGCGTCGTTCCGGTGCGAGATGGAGCAGAAGGAGCCCGCTCCCATCGCCTCTGTGCCGCAGTCGCAGCGAAAGTCGCGGCGGTTGAAGAGTTCGACGAGAGAGTGGTCGCCATGGCATGCGATGGAGCACGCTGCGCAGACTGCTCGGTCGTTGAGGCAAGTTTTGCAGGCGAAGAGCGGCTGCTTGATGTAGCCGAGGTCGTAGGTGCAGGCGTCGAACTTGTACGGCATGATCTCCCGCGCTTCCGCCTCCAAGGCCTCCTGCGCGCCGATCAAGTCGTCCGCAACAAAGTCGTCGCTCGAGGGCACGCCCTCGCGCGTCGGCGAGAAGAGGAGTGCCTCGCGGTTGAGCATCGCGACGACGTAAGTTTCGGTTCAAACGGGCGGTGAAAGTTGAAAGAGATGAAGGTGGGGGGCGTCGAGGACGCGAGGGAGAAGTAGGTGAGATGGGCGGGCTGCGAGGGGCGAGCTGCTGGCGCGAACATCGTGTCAGCATCTTTCGCAACCGTGCACGCTCCCTTCATGCCTTCCAGACGGGTTGACGAGGAGCGTGAGACTCACCAGGTCGGGAGGAGATGAAGCCCGGTGACGGCGTAGAGCGAGTCGTGCGGGTCCTGCGCACCGTTGTCACGTCGGTAGCAAGGCAACGAGCAGGCAGAAGGTGCAGCAAGTGCGAAGCGAGCGAGCGGAGGAGGGAAAGAGGCGTCGCGACCGCGTTCTGCTCTTCTCAAATCCGCAGACACTCGGTGAAGAGCCAGCGACCGCTTCTTCCGCGTCGAACGATGTCACAAGCGATGCAGCGATGGATAAATAAGATAGACAGTCTACGCGGAACCACGGGTCTCGCTTTTAATCTCGTCCTCCGTCGACCCGTCTGCCCCGACCAGCGTCTTTCGCCCGTCTTGGTCCGGCCTGACTTGCGCGTCCGCTGGCGACAGCCATGCTGGATTGCCGACGGAGTCGCCGCCCCGATGTGATGTCGCCTCGTCGAGCCAAGTCGCGCCGAAATACTCGGTCGGGTCGCGGAGAGGCGTGACGGGTTGGCTGGCGGGCAAAGAGTAGTTGGCACCCGTGTGTTTTTGCGCAAGGTTGACGTAGGCAATGTAGAAGTGTGCCGAGAGCGTCAAGCCCACAATGAGGCCGTACAACCACGAGCCGAGGGTGAGGGTGATCTCGATCGCGGCTTTGTGCATCTTGGGGAAGTTCGGCAGCTCGATGACGATCCAGAGTGAGAGGCCGCTGAAGGAGACGGCCATGGCGATGCTCGAAAGGGTAGTCTGCGAGGAGTAGTGGTGAGATGAGAGTTCGGTGAAGAGCTAAATGAGCACGCACGATGAGGAGGTCGAGTTCGGCGCGATGCAAAAGCTGCAGGTTCCTTGCCCGAACAGCCTTGACGCCGCTTGCCTCCTCGCCTGCCCACCTCCGCACTGCCGAGCGCGAGGGCTTCGTGCGCCGGGAGGTGGACGAGCGCGACATCGAGTGTCCCGCCAAGGATGTCAATCCTTCCTTCGACGTTGACGGTGAGGATTCGTTCTCGAGGCGCGGCGTTGCTGGAATTACGTTGAGCGAGACGGGCGGCTGAATCGTCGTCGCGTCCGAGACCGTATCAGCCGGCGAAGCGAAGTTGACAATGAGCTCCTCCTGACGCTCTAGCGTTGCTGGAGTGGTGTGAAGCTCTGGCAGGCGGACGAGGGCGGAGTGCGTGGTGTCAACGCCGAAAGTGCGATAATTCTCCTTGATCTGCTGACGAACGACGATGAGGAGAGCGATGCAAGCCGCATTGACCTGCCGGAGGGCCAGTCAGCCGGGGCTCGCATTTGAGTGGACGAGGGTGACGCACGAGCGCAGTGAAGAACGGCGAGATGGCGTAGATAGCCATCAAGGCACGCGCGTACGTGAGGACGTTGCTCGAGTAGCCCATTACCCTCGACCAGCCCGCCTGCAGCGTCCCCATCACATCTGGCGCGATGCTTCCCGACCAGCTGGGCGCGAGGTTGCGGAGTTGGTCGATGAGGCGGTCGACGGCTGCGTCCTGATTGACGGCCGCTCTGGCGGCGAGGACGTCGCAGACCTGCGACAAGATGCGTCAATAATGCTTCGTAACCAACCACAAGCGATACTCACGATTAGGCCCGCGAGCATGATGAGGCCAACGCCGAGGAAGATCGAGTTGGCAAGTCGAGGCGACAACCACCTCAAGCCCCTGCTGGCCTCGCCGCTTGTGATGATGTAGCCCTGCAGCGACGCCCAGCTGACGATCCACAGCTGCAAGAACAGCAGAGTCCACGGCGTGACTCTCAGCGCCCCGACACTCTCGACGCCGCCCGAGCCGAGCGTACCGGTCCACTCGACGGCGACATGGGCGATGAAGAGCGGCGTCGTGATCAATGTCAAGATGGGCTCAAGGAGTTGCCGACTGTGAAAAGGGACGTGAGCTGCGTATCAAAGAGAAGCGCGCGAAAGAGGAGTTGGATACTCACTTTCCAACGATGTACTGTCCCCTCGTGCGCGCTACCAACCTCCACAGGAAGAGCGCCTTCCCTCTCCGCCGACTGTCAATGATTGTGATGCAGAGATTGGCGACCGCGGCGAAGAAGACGAAGGTGAGGAGGGCGCAGAGGATGGACAGGCGGACATCAAGCCCGATCTTGTCACTCATTCGCGTTCGCTGGACCGATTCGGTCGCTGCAATCCAGTACTCGTACGGGTTTGCGCCGGCTGGTGGAGTAGGTAGGGTGTAGCAATGAGCGTCCGACATGTTGCCGTATTCAGTAACGCAAGCTCTGGCCGTGCGCCGCCGACCCGTCGTCCTTCGTGCGTCGCGCACAAGCCACACAGCTCGAGCCCGTCCAGCGGGCTTGCGCGGACCCACAGCAGCAGGAAAGAAAGACAAGAAATGCGATGAGCAAGCCGTGTCGCCTGCAGATCACGGAGCGCAAACATGCGCTCGATCTGTCTCCGCATGTTCTCCATCCTCGCTGAAAGGGTTTCGAGCCAAGTTCCTCGCCGACAGTGTCGACGAAGTCGGAAGGGGGCGGGAGTGTCCTGGATCGCGCATCGCCGTTGAGCGGGCGTGCGTGCGCAGCTGTACTGGCCAAGGTGGCGCTGGTGATTGGACGGCCTCGGCGTATAACACGGCCGCCCTGTCAAGCACGAGGCCGGGATGAGCGGTCAAAGGAAGAAACAGACGAGGAGGAGGACGCGCTTGTCTCTGCGCGCTTTTGTGGCAGCATAGGCGAGCTCCTGAAGTCTCGACGACACTCTGAAGCCATACGTAAGCACACCTGCGAGGAGTTGTGATATATCGGCCGTCGTGGTCGAGGAGGAGAGCGAGGTCAAAGTCGTCCATCCTCGCTCGTACTGCGCCGCTGCTCGTACCAGGCTTGTTCTGCGTGTGGTTGTGCTGCTGGATATAGCGCGTCTCCTCCCAGTGCGTCCCACTCGCCAGCTCACCACCGCTCCTCATCTTCATCAGGTTACTGACTTCGCTCGCCCTTCCGACCCCTGCAGTGAGCGCCCTTACGGCTTACGTCGACAGTGAGTTTGCTTTCGATCCGTCTCAGGCGCGCACAAGGGCGCAAAGAGGCTGCGGACTCTGAACGCGCTCACCCACTCTCGCTCCGGTTGCCGCTCTTCCAGCGACGGGCAGAGCCGACGGGACGCGTAGGAAGGCAGCAATGGCGCTCACAGGAGGCTGACAGGACACTTGCTCGTTTGCGCGCATCCACAACCTCGCCTCCGCCTCCCTCCCCTCTCCCCTCTCTCCTCTCTCCTCGCTTCGTCTCATTGTCTAAAACAGAGCGAGTCCTCGTGATCACCCAGGATGGACGGGTCATCGTGGTGCGTCACTTCTCCTGCCCGAGTAAGCGCCGCGGGGTTGCGTATGCTGACGAGGATCGTTTGCAGGGCGAGTTGCGAGGATTCGACCAAACGACGAACGTCATCCTGTCTGGCAGCACAGAGCGAGTGTTCTCGTCTGATGAGGGTGTCGAGGAGGTTCCTCTAGGAGTGTACATTGTCCGAGGGGACAACATCGTCAGTTCCCCGTCCGCCGCCTAAACGCATTTGTCCGTCCGGCTGACCGCTCCTTCTCGCACAGACCCTGATAGGCGAGGTTGACGAGGATGTCGACAAGCAGATCGACCTCTCGACAGTACGAGCAGAGCCCATCGCCGAGGTACAACATTAGGCCAGCGTGCGAATGGTTTGTGGCGAGGGAGGATGTAGACTGGCGGGCGGTTCCGCGGACGGCCGGAAAACGACGCGACAGATGTCGGTGCGTTCGATGATCGCGCACTTGTTGTCACGACTGCTGATAAACCTCGAAGGCGCAGAACCCACTTCGCATGACTTGTAACATCTCGATACCCTTTCAGCGCCGTTGCGCTTCGCTTCCTACGACGCAAAGACTCTGCTAACGTCGCTACAGAGCTTGTTACTCGCGTCCTCGCTCGCTTCCGCCCCTCCTCCTCGCTAACCGGTCTGGATCACAACCGCCGACCAAGGTTGACCTCCTGTCGAGCGACGTGCTTCTGGTCAGAGCCTCGCTGTACAAACGCGACTCGCTCTTCCGACTGACGACGACGAACGATGCCGCCCGTCGTGCATGCTCGACGAGTCGAGCGTTTGCGAGGAACGTCTACGACCTTCGAGACCGTTCGGGAAGGTCCTCGTCGAAGTCACGCACAAGGTATATAAGCCGCCCGTTCTCCTCCCTCCTCCTTTCCTTCTCTCTATCAAGACACCCGCCTTCGACACACACCCGCTCCGAAACCCCCGCCGCAACCGACAATGCTCGCCTACCAAGTTCCTACCTTCGTCGACTTCGGCCGCGTCTATCTCCCCGCCTACGACGTCGAGCCCGACTATCTCGCTCAGCAGCGCCAGCGTCGCCGTCAAGCCGCCCTCGCCCAAGCCGAGGCTGTCGAACGCTGCCGTCGTGAGAAGGAGCAGGAGCTCGCGTACCGACTTGCTCTCGCCCAGGAGTTTGAACGCCGCCGTCGCCGCGATGAGTTCGTTCGCGAACAGAGGAGGAGGGAGGAGGAGCAGCGGAGGAAGATTGCTTACGCTAGGAGGCAGCGCCAACTTGGCCCGCACGCCCTCTTCGACGTCCTCGTCCAGCTCCAGCCTGACCTCCTCGACGCTGTCGCTTCTCACGACGACGACGAAGGACTCGACGACACTGCTTCCGACGTCGAGGAGTACGTCGAGGTCGCCCTCCAGCGCCCCCATGTTCCGTCGACCCTCGTAGCCGACCCCGAGGAGATCGACCTCGCCGCTGCTGTAGCCTCGGCCGTCAACAACGACGACGCTTCCGACGCCGACGCCTCTTCTGCTATCGGCGACTCGTCGACATGGCACGCCGACTCCGACTCGGACACTTCAACCGTCGAGGTCGACACTTCCGCCGAGCGCGCCGCCTCCCTCGGCACCCTCTCCTCGCTCGCCAACGACTTCGACTCCCACCGTGCATCTTTCGTGTCGCCGACCACCCTCACCTTCTCGGCTTCGCCCTCGCCTGCCGATCGCTCGACCCGCTCACCCACTCCTCCCCTCGCCTTCGGCTCTTCCAACACGCCCTTCCTTGCCTACGAAGAGTATCTCCTCTCGCTTCTTACCAAGCTCGACGCCATCGAATCTCACGGCGACTCGACCATCAAGCGCGCGAGGAAGGAGCTTGTCAAGCAGGTCGAGGCGGAACTTGCACAACTTGACGGTCTGAAGCAGAAGGCGTGGGAGGAGCTGAGCGCGTCGGCTTCGTCGTCTCCGAGCGACGAGGAGGCGGACGATGGGTCGATGAGCAGCGAGTCGGAGGACGATGAGGAGGACGAGGAGATGACTGGACCTGCCGAAGGTGAGTTGCCGGCATCACCCTTCTTCGCCTTCTTCCCGCCTCCGCCATGCTGACTCACATCTCCACCATCTCCAGTCGAAACCCTCATTCTCTCATCCGACTCCGACTCTTCCCTCTCCTCACCCGAACCCGAACTTGCTCCTCAGACCGTTAAGATCCCCTTCCTTCCCCAGACCGCCTCCTCTTCTCACTCTCGTCGCCGCTCTACCCGCCCGCGCTCTCGCCAGTGCGAGGATGATGACGCCTTCTCCCCTTCTTCCCCTCCGAACGATGCGGACGACGAGGTCGTGGACGTTCTCTTGCGCGCACACAAGCTCGGTGAACAGGTGTCCCAGATGGAGGAAGCAGAGCGGGATAGGGCGGACATGCACGACGTGCTCGGCGACGAGGATGAGGATTCGAGCGGCTCGAGCGACGATGAGGAAATGTTCGTGCTGTATCTCTAAATGTCGTGTCATGCGAAGTCTTGTACTACTCCTCCGCCGCTCAGGAGAGAACCCAGATCTTGCTTTGAGCATAAATGGCTTCTACGAGTAGCCCAACCTCCGAGATCTCTTCTTGAACTCTGCTCGCGTCCTGCACCAATGGGCGTCGACCTTGCCGCCCTTGCCCGGGCATTAAAGGTAGTGTGCGCCGTTGTGATAGGTCAACTCCGCCGTCTTGCAGGGCTGCGAGCACCAGAATGCCCATTTGCAGCCGCCACACTCGAGGACGCCGTGGTGCGACGGGACTTGGCACCTGCGGACGCAACTCGTCAGGTCCGCAACGATGACGGACAGGCGAGACTGCAATTCACCATCGGCACGTCCGCGCTTCGACTGGAATGCTCTCGCCGCCGTTCGCTGCCGCCGCGTCCTCGCTCTTTCGCTGCGCAATGTCCACTGCGTCGCTTTCTCCCTTCGGCACGTCCTCCTGACCCTCCTTGACGTTGTCCTCCGCCTCCACCTCTGTCTCCTTACCCTCAGCCCGAGGTCCGTCCTGCGCGTCGGAACCCTCTGCAGCGGCATCCGTCGCCGCGCCCTTCTTCCGCTTCTTCTTCGCCTTCGACTTGCTGGGCTTCTTCGCTTTGAGCCACTGCTCCCTGGTCAGCTCATACCGGATCTGCTTCGAATGCTTGAAGAACGAGACAGTCTTGCGGCCGACCTCGCCGATCCTGGTAAAGCCGAGTTTTTCGGCGAGCGCGAGGGACGCCTCATTCGAGGAGACGGGGTCGATGATGATGCGCGGAAGCTTGAGTGTTGTAAAGACGAACGGGATGACGGCCTTGATAGCCTCTGTCATGAGCCCTTGTCGCCAGAAGCTGCGACAGCAACGTCAGAAAACGGCGCCCGACAAGCAGCTTACCGAAGAGGTACTTCGGATGCAGCTCATAAACTGCGAGAGGCACCGTCAGAGCCAACTCGGAGAAAAGCGAAGTGGGGAGACGCACACAAGACGGCCTCATACGGGCTGGTCGTAAGTTCCTGCTCGCTCGGGTAGCAAAAAATCTCGCCAGGCTTGGGCTCGAAGTCGCTACCCCGGTGACCTCCGGGTTTGACCAGAATCTGGACGGCTGTTGCGCAAGTGTAAGCTGCGGGTGTGGCAGGGAGAAGAGCGTCCAGGACGCACCGATGTTGCCGATGTAGCCGTCCGCGTCAAGGTCGTGCTTCACTCCTTCTGCCTTCTTCGCCTCGACCGCGCGTGTTCCGTCCTTGTTCAATCGCGGTTCGATAGCCCATACGTATCGTGTCCGGCCAGCAACAGGCGAGCCTTCCGACTCGACCGCCGGGATGTTGTTGTCGAGGTATCCGGCGGTGAAGAAGGGAAGAACGATGCTAGGGTCGTCGATGACGCCGTAGAGTTGCTGCGACGAGACGAGCCGTTCGTTCTTGACGGCGAAGATCCGCTTGTCGTCTGTCAAATCGTTCACTTAGCTACAGAGTGCGCCGCAGAAGCCCCGGCTGACTCACCCTCAATCTCTACGGGTCGGAGCTCTGCAGGTTGAGCGGTCAGCGCAGCACAAAGGGGCTAGAGGACGACTTTGCGAGAGGGAAGGAGGCGTTCCGACGTACGGAGTCGGGGCGACACGATCTCAACGCGACAGCCGGGCGTACAGAAGTGTTTCCAGCTCTCCTGGATGCCACAGATAAGTCAGCACCGGGACAATGAATCTGCGAGGGCGGACGCACCGGTTCGTCGAGGAATATCCGCCTGTTGGTCTGCCCAACGCAGTTCTGCTTCTCGTGCCGCTCCTTACCGCGTTCGTAGCACTTTCTGCAGGGTCCAACATGGTCAGCTAAGCTCAAAGAGGCCAGCGACTCGAGCTGTTTCCCCATCTCCTCTCGAAACTGATGAAGATGCTTACGAGTCGCAAAACGAGACGGGGACGTCTGCGAAGGCGCAGCGCTTACAGAGTGTGATTGTCTCACTCGCTGCTGCCTTGCTGCCGGCTGCGCAGGCGGAGGCGGACTGGTCAACGAGGTTGAGGAGAATCGAATGTGCGGAGGGAAGGAACTCACGACGGGCGCCGCAGGCGAAGCAAGGCTGTCCAGACGGGTGCTCATTGAGCAAAGGTGTCATCGCCGCGCGGCGCGAGGCACTCGACGAAGCTACGAGCGAAATGTAAGAGCGAGAGAACGGAGGAGGGAAATCTGGCTCAGCGACTGTACGATGTCTACGTGTATTGCGAGCGCTTCTATAAATGCTGTCTAGCCTGTCCTAAAAACAGTCGGGCGGTTAAGGCCCGCGCCGAGATCCTCCTTCCTCAAGTCCGCTTCTAGCACGTCGAGCGTAGTTTTCGACGAGGTGTGGATCATGCCTCCGCTTCTGAGTGTTCGACCATGGCCTCGCCGCGACTATGCGCGGATGTAGGCGTCGAAGGAGCGGATGGTCGACAGTAACACGGCAGGTGCAGTCGGAAGTCGATCTGGGTGGCGCAAGCGCGAGACACGACACATTCAGTTGTGCGCAGATGATACAGATGAGAATTACTTACAGCGAAGCCCCTCGCTCGCTCGAAGTGCAGCCATTCTCCTCAATCCCAACCTCGGACCTTGCCCCTCCCGCTCTTCGTTTCCTTGCGCATCTTCTTCGACTTCGCCGTCCTCAGCTTCTCGCGATCGACAAGCTCCTTGACCTTTTCCTTCTGCGCTTCGCTCGTCTCGCCGACGAGGTCCCGTCTCGCTGCGTCGAGGATGGTCGCCTTGAGTTTCGACATGCAGTCGGCTAGGTTGGTCTGCTGGGTTCGGTGGGTCGACGAGGAGACCAGGAGAGAGGGAGGCGAATTCGAGTAGTGAGGCGAGCGGCGCAGATGGGCGACTACGTATGGCGGAAGGAGTGTTGGCGAGGGAAGAGGGAGTCGAACGACAGCCTTCGAGAACGTTCGGTTGACGTGCTGCCCTCCAGGGCCTGAAGAACGAGTGAACGAGATGTCGGTCAAGTCTGCACAGCGAATGTCAAGATTGTCAGCCCGAGAGAGCTCGAAGCGAAGGCGAGTGGAAAGCGTTCCCCAACGCACTCTTTGGCCAGTCCTCTGCAGACATCTTTTCGAATGCGCTGATCCACACCCTCGCGAGCTTCATGTCATCCTGCGTGTTGAGCGCGGCGAGAGAGGGGGGTCGCGCGACTGTCGAGGCGAGACGAGCGAGCGGCGGCAGCCGAAAGCCGCGCGGCCAGCTCAAAGCGGTGCCAGCAAGCATTCTGAGCCCCAGCGCACCAACAGCAACCGCTCAGCCGGCGAGCGACCAACTCGCTGAAGTCAACTTGCTGCTTTCCGCCATCGCCGCTTCTCTTGACCTCGCCCTCTCGCTCGACAGGGCTTGCGAGACTCGCTATCGTGCCAGAATGTCGCTGCTATGCCGTGCAGCACGACCGGCGAAACGACGGAGCCTCCCGTCTCTCCTCCCCACAGCCATCTCTCCGAAACTTGATCACCTCTCAACGACCTCGCAACGGGCGCGGACGGGCCTCGGGGGCATTGGGTGTGCAGCAGTCAGGGCTTCAAGCGGCAATGGCTACGCTGGGAGTACACCTAAGCGGTCTGGGAGGACAGAAGCTCGATGGACAGGTCGGGCTGAGGACAGTCTACTTGCGGAGGCTGCAGCACCCTCTTGGCGATTAGGTACGTACGAGCCAGTACTTGAGTCGTTCTTCCAGGCTGACCCATCACCAGCAGGCGGCGCACGACGACGATCGCACACATCAACGGCCTGGCGTGCAGCGACAGCAACTACCGACCCGTCGCTCAGTGAGGGCGGTCTTGCGAGTCCTACCACTACCAATACTGACACACCCTCCTACAGCACCCCTGAACGAGGTTCAAGTCCCCCTCATCTCGCGAAATCTCCGCGCCCAGCTCTTCCCTCCCGCCGGATCCCCCTTCGCTCCTTCGCCTCCGTCCGCTGACGCTGTCCGGATCTCTACCGAACACCTGCGGCAACACGAGCTCCTGCCGGACCCTGCCAAAGCACCCGTCAAGAAGCCGCCACCCGCCGTCGAGTTCGACTTGCCTCGACTGCAAGGTCCGACGCTCTCGCATCACTTTCATGCCCTCGGCCAGGACATTGCCGAGCCGTACCTCTCGATGGCCAAGTCGTTTGCCAAGGCGAAGACGCCGCCGATGCCAGTTCAGCAGCACTGGACGCGCACGCCCGGCTGGACGGTCTACCACCCCGACGGATCTTGCGAGAGCATCGACTACCCGCCCGAGGAGGAACGGACGCTCGTCTTTGACGTCGAGACGATGCCATATGCCGGTGGACATTTTCCGATCATGGCGGTTGCGGTTGGCGAGAAAGGCTGGTACGGCTGGTGCAGCCCGTGGCTCAGCGGCGACGACGACAAGCCGAACCACCTCATCCCCTTCGGGCCCAAGCGCAAGGACGGCCCGAGCTCCTCACTCACCTCAGACGACTTTGCCTCGCGCTCGCAACTCTTCGAGCGATCCGACTCGCCTCCCCGCCTCCTCATCGGCCACAACGTTCTCTTCGACCGCGCCCGTATCGCGAATGAGTACGACCTCCGTCGACCTTCGACACGGTACCTCGACACGCTCTCGCTCCACGTCTCCGTCAGCGGTCTGACGAATCCGCAGCGACCTCTTTGGCTGAAGCATCGCAAGGAGAAGGCCGAGGCGACGAAGAAGAAGGAGGCCGGCGAGGCTGGGGAGACTGTTAACGAGGACGACGGGTTTGACATGCAGCCATTGGACGAGGACGATGTACTCCGTCGACAGGCGGCAAAGGATCCGAGCGAGTCCATCCTCTCGCGCGTCAAGTCGTCGACCAAGCGGAAGATTCGTTCGGGAGGCGGCTCGGATAGCGACCCCGACCTCGACTGGCGAGACGTATCTTCGACAAACTCGCTCGCCGAAGTCGCTCGCCTGCATTGCGGCATTGAGGCCGACAAGACCTTGCGCGAAGTCCTCATCGATCCCTCGCTCGAGATCAAGGACGCACGCGACTTTTTCAACGAGCTCATAGACTACTGCGCCCGCGACGTCGACGTTACCCTACGAGTGTATCGCGTCCTGCTCCCCAAGTTCCTCGAATCCTGTCCTCATCCCGTCACCTTCGCCGGCGTAACGCTCATGAGCCAGCCTGTCCTCCCTGTCGACGAGAAGTGGCCTGCGTACGTCGAGCGCGCCGAATCCGAGTATCAGCGTCGTCTTGAGGGCGTCAACCAGAACCTCAAGGCCATCGCCGAGGAGACCCGCGCCAAGTTCTACGAGAAGGACGAGTCGGGCAGGTTCGTCTGGGAGAAAGACCCGTGGCTGAGCCAGCTCGACTGGAGCCCGAAGAAGGCGAAGCGACTGCCCAAGGCCGTCCTCGCGCAGGTCAAGGCGGCGCAGCAGGCGGCGGAAGAGGCGGCGCGGTTGGCCGCGGAGGAGGTTGACAAGGAGGCGGAAGCGGATGTCGAGAAGCAAATCGACGTTGAAGAAGGCTCGGGCGAGCTACAGCAGCGGCCGGTGTGGGCGGAGGCGCTCGAAGACCTCGACCTTCACTCGAACCTCGTCCCGCTCCTCCTTGAGGTGTCCTGGCGCGGGTATCCCGTCGTCAGTACGTCGAAAGGATGGGTCTTTGCCGTACCCGAGGAGGAGTCGTTCGAACCGGCCACAGGCGAAACGCTCGTCGACCTTCCCGAAATCGAGGCGGGTAGGCTGTCTGGTCTCGGCCCCGTTCGTTTCTTCCGTGTGGCCAGTCCTCGCGGAGCCGCATCGACGAAGCGCCTAGCATCGCCTGCATTCGCCAAAGCCGTCGCCGCAGGGGTTCTCGCCAGTCCTTTCCACCAGTTCGAGGAACTCGTCAGCCTTCGGCCATACGACTTCGAGACCACCCTGGGCGACAGGGTCCGCGCCAAAGTGCTCAAGCAAGCGGACAAGGCGTTGGCGCTCTTGGAAAACGAGCGCTACTCGAGCCCTTGGTTGCAGCAGCTCGACTGGACCACCGAGGCGAAGCCAGCACGCCGACCATTGCAGCCAAAGTCGAAGCCTACGGCGACGAAGCGCCAAGACGCTGCCGGTGCTGCCGCTATCTCGACGAACGTGAGCGCCGACCCGTCAGACCTCATTTGGCCGCAGTGGTACTGGGACCTCGACTCGCGAACCAAGGGGCTCGACATTACGATCGGCAAGCGGGCGACGCCGCTCCTCCTCAGGCTCTGCTGGCTAGGGTACCCGCTGGCATACTCGAAGAACCACGGCTGGATGTACCGCGTGCCGGAGAAGGACTACGACAAGCTTCTCGCGGCCAATGCCCAGCTCAGGCCGATCATATTCGATGAGCCGGAGGACGCCAGCTTCGCCGAGGACCGCGGCAACTTCTACTTCAAGCTACCGCACCCCGACGGCGAGGAGAAGAACGTCGGCAATCCCCTCTCCAAGCCCTTCGTCAAGGCATTCGAGAACGGCATCCTCACCTCCGAGTACCCCATCGCCAAGGCCGCGCTCGACCTCAACGCCTCGTGCAGCTACTGGAAGTCGTCTCGCGAACGCATCACGGGGCAGATGGTTGTCTGGGACGGCGACGCTCGGCAGGAAGCCCCTTCCCCGCAAGCTATTGCGGCGGCGGCGGCCAAGGCCGACTCTCAGGGCCTCATCCTTCCTCAGGTCATCCCGATGGGCACCATCACGCGCCGCGCCGTCGAGCGAACATGGCTCACCGCTTCGAACGCCAAGAAGAATCGCGTCGGCTCGGAGCTGAAATCAATGATCCGCGCTCCGCCGGGCTACGCCATCGTCGGCGCCGACGTCGATTCGGAGGAGCTGTGGATCTGCAGCGTCATGGGCGACGCTCAGTTTGGCATTCACGGTGCGACCGCAATCGGCTGGATGGGCCTCGAGGGTACGAAGTCGGCCGGCACCGACCTTCACTCCAAGACGGCGAGCATCCTGGGGATTTCGCGCGACGACGCCAAGGTGTTCAACTACTCGCGAATCTACGGCGCAGGCGTCGCCCACGCCGTCCAGCTCCTGCTCAAATCGAATCCGGCGCTGTCGAAGGAGGAGGCGACCGATCTTGCCAAGAACCTGTACAAGGCGACCAAGGGCAACACCGACCGCAGTCCTACCTTTGATCGCAAGTTCTGGCATGGCGGCACCGAGTCGTTCGTCTTCAACAAGCTCGAAGAGATTGCCATGATGGCGCGACCTCGGACGCCGGCTCTCGGCTGCGGACTCACAGCCGCTCTGACGAAGGAGTATCTCAAGGCGGACGGGATGAGCAAGGCGGGCGAAGGTTTCCTACCGTCGCGCGTAAACTGGGTCGTGCAGTCTTCCGGCGTCGACTACCTCCACCTCCTCATCGTCTCGATGGAGTACCTCTGCAAGCGCTTCGAAATCGACGCGCGTTACCTCATCTCGGTGCACGACGAGGTCCGGTACCTCGTCAAGGAGGACGACAAGTATCGCGCCGCCCTGGCTATGCAGGTCGCTAACCTCTGGACGCGCTCACTCTTCGCGTACCGCCTGCAAATGGGCGACCTCCCCCAGGTGCGCATGGCTGTTCATTACGTGTGCAGATGCATTTGACTGACCCTTGCGGACCTCGCAGGGCTGCGCCTTCTTCTCCGCCGTCGATGTCGACTCGTGCTTCCGCAAGGAGGTCTTCATGACTTGCGAGACGCCTTCGAACCCAGAAGCGATCCCTCCCGGCGAGTCGCTCGAGATTGTGGATACGCTCGAGAAGACTGCCGGCACCCTCTTCGCCGACGGACGGCCAATGGTCGAAGGCGAAACGACTCTGCCTTCCCTCAAGCTCAAACACGAGCTTCTCCCGGGCGAGGTCATGGGCGACCATCACCGCGTCTTGGCGACGGAGTTCCTCGAGGCTCAGGCGACCGCGTCGCAGGCTGTAATTCGCCGCCTCTTTCAGCAGTACAAGGAGAACGAACGGAGGGCTAGGCTGGGTCTTCCGCAGCAGTCGAGCAAGGCTCCGCAATCGTCGCGGCGCGCCATACCAACACCTCGGCACGTCGAAGCGGAGGACGACAGGCCACCGCCCGTGCCCGGCCAACGCTGGGACGCCTTCGACTTTGACGACCCGGAACTCATGCCGACCATGTCGCGCTCGTACGGGAGCTCACGTTAGCGGCCTCGGAACCCGCAAATCCTCTTTCCCACCTGTCTCTCTCTAATCCATCGACGCTGTATCCGGAACTGTTGTCTTATTGCATCACTGTAGCATATCGCATCGAGGCAAGCCTTTCGCATCTCTCGCCTGACACTCAGATGCGGTGTCACGGACAGACTTTGTAGAGCACGCAGACACTTTGCGACCAGGTTGCAGATGTCTTTGGTGTCGACTGACGGAGCGAGAGAAGCAGCAAGCAGGCCTTTCGAGGCGTTGGCACGCAAGATTCCCGAAAGTTGGGTAGGTCATCTCTAGAAAGTACGAGGAACGTGGTCGGGGAGGCGCTGGAAAGACCTGACACGGCATGCCACGGGTGAGAAGAGCATGTCTGAGATTGCCGTTCGAAGCGAAGAAGCTTGCCAGTCGCTGAAGAGAATGCGGGAGTGCGAAAGCCGCGAGGTGCTTGCAGGGCACGTCTACTCACCACTCATCGTCGTCCTGCACGATGGCGTTCTTGCTGCGAACTGGCTCAACCTCCTCTTCGTCGGAAGCAGCCTCGTCCTGTGCGGTCTGTAGGAGGTACGACTGTCAGATGCGAGACGGTACCGGAGGTTGGTGTTGTTACGCGCCTGGAAGAGGTGGTCGAGATGCTGCTGTTCCCGTTGCGAGTCCGTAAGACCGTCGGACTTGATCTGCGAGCTCACAAGTCGGTCAGCGGGGCTTCTCGAGCACAGGATCTTGCGTTTACTCACCTTGGACCTGGTGCTGATGTTCTTGACGGGCGCCGGGGCTTCCGAAACTGCTCAAGGCGACATAAGTCTGGGCTGAATCGTCAGGCGGCAATCGGCAGCTACGCACGAAGCTTCATCCCTTCAGGCCGCACGTCGACAATCTCCAGCGGCTTGTTCGCGCCGGACAGATACTCCTCCGCCGTCATGCTCGGCTTGGTCACATCGCGAGTTGGCACAAAGATATCGTCCTGGAAGTACTCGGTCTGCAGCACTGACCGCCGTCAGCGGCCGGAGAGGCAAGACATCTGGTCGGGTCTGGTCGCACCTTCGCTCGGGGAACGGTAAAGCTGACAGCCTCAGCCGTACTGGGCGTGAGACGGAGCGCTCGTACGATTTCCACCGCCTTGATGTCGTTGCTGGTCTTCGGAAAGAAGGCGAAGCCCGACTGGAGCGTCCCGTGCTCGAAATGTGGGAGTTTGGCGAACGCTTCGTGAGGAGCGGCAGGCTGCAAGTTTACTTCGTAGGCGAGGCAGGACCGATCGCCGCGAGAGTAGAGGAGGGCGATCCGGGTGTCGATGTCGAAGTAGGGGAAGAGCGGAGCAGGCGAGATGTCGAGAGACGCCTTGCCGACCTGCGTGAGCTTGCTCCCGTCGTAGTCGTACAAGATGAGCTCGCGAGATGCTGCACGATTGAAGCCGGTGGAGAGTACGTGCTTGTCGGACGCCCAGACGACCCGCACGGGTCGGATCGAATCGTGCCCAGCCGTCGAAACGAGAGTCGACGTAGCCGCTCGCGGGTCGAGGACGTGCACCTGCTTGTTCTTGGTCGCTAGGGCAAGAAGCGACCCGTCGGGTGACCACGCGGTGGACGAGACCTGCGGGACAGCGTCAGCACAGAGTTCGGGTATCAGGGGAAGCGGCAGGACGCACTCCTCCTTTGGGCAGCTCGGCTCGCAGGAGCATCTCGCCCGATCCGACGTTCCAAAGACGTGCAGCGGGGTTTCCCTTGTCGTCCGAGATCGAGAGGAGGAGATCCTTGGCCGCAGGATGATGATGCAGCTCCGAGATGCGGTCCATGCGGGCGTCTGAACATGCGAGTCAGAAATGTGATCATAAAGAGCGGCGTTTGAGCGGACGCACCGGTCAGGGTCCTCGTAGCTTCAGTCAATACCTCCCCTTCTTTCCACTCAGCCGGACCCGACGGGAGCGAGAACACTCGAATTGAGCTGTCGTCGCCGGCGACGAAGACACGGGTTGGATCAAATGGGTCGACAGCAAAGTCGGTAATGGTGCCGCCGATCGAGACGCAAGATGGGTGGACCGGCAGACGACCTTTGCGAGCGAGAGGGTGGAAGGCGAGACGGCCGCCAGTGCCTGCGAGCGGATAGAAGAAGTACAGACTAGAGGCCTGCAGAAATATGTCGTCAGACGAGAGGATATTGGAGGGGGCGAGCAAAGCATGGCGCACCTTGAGCAGCTGGACATCGTTACCCATCGTCGAGGAGAGGTCGTGCACGTCGAAGTAGTCGGGCTTGAGCGGCGTCTTACCTGCGAGGAACTTGCGAGACCAGGCGTCGGGCTTCATCGAGTCGCCCAGCGTTGCAGTCGGACGAGTCGGAGGCGTGGCCGAAGGTGTCGTCGCACTTTTCGGCGCAGTTGGCTCGGGCGCAGGATGGAAAGAAGGAGAGGACGTCTTTGCAGCCGACGAGCCGAACGTTGGACGTGGCGAGCTAGACTTGCCGTTGAGCGAGAGGTTCGAGAAGGCGGCGGCAGGTGCTGCTGCTGCCGAGTCTGGCGCGGACGGCGTAGGTAGGGAGGCGCTCGTAGCTGGCGAGGCGCTCATAGTTGCCGTACTCGTCGGTGCAGATGTCGCAGGTACCGTTGTAGCGGGCGCCGGGGCAGCTGCTGCGACACCTGGAACTGAAGGTGTAGCAGGCTTTTCTAGCGCCATCGCCTGCACAGCTGGCTGCGGGGTTGAGTGCGATGTCGCGGCGGGGGCTGCCGTCGCTGCCCGTGCAATGGGAACCGCAGGGCTTGCCGCAGACGTCCGCGTCTTCTCGCCAAGCACCCATGGCTTCGAAGGATCCAGGTGACGCTTCTCGAGGTAGAGCGTGTCCTCGTCCTTGCGCGAGAGCCATTCCTGGCCCGCTTGTGCGGGTACTGAAGCGAAGCAACCAGATCAGCCTCTTGCTGCTTGCTAAGAAGCGAATTGCACGCACCTCGTGCGCTGACGGGGGGATACAAGTCGCTATGGAAGTCGAGATACTGCCTACGCGGCACCGTGATGGAGACAGGAACGACCGCATCGTTCCCTCCGCCAGCGAGGACGACGAGGCGATTGATCTCGGCCTTCATCAGCTCGAGCGTGTTGGGTGGGGCGAGCGCGGCGGAGAGAAGCGGGACGGGAAGGCTGGCAGAGCCTACAACGCACACGCAGCGTCAGCTAGAAGGGGGAGAGAAGGAATCGCCGGCTGCTCACCCTCCGTAACGCCGCCAGGTCCGCCAACCTCGACCCATCGCAGCGTCATGTCGCCCTTCCCAGCCAGATAGGCGATTCCTCGACTCTCGTCGACAAGAGGCGTGATGACACCGGTACCCGTGTCGATTCGCTGCGTTTTGGTCGCGCCCGAAGCGAGGGAGCGGATGTCGAAGAGCGAATACTCGCGGTCTCGCGTGCGGGAAAAGCCGGTCGTGAGGATCTGAGGAGCCGCGGTTGGCGAGAGAGCAGGAATGTGGGCATGGCGCGTCGCCTTCGGTCCAGCATGAATCGCAACCTCGGCGACAGGGTCGGAAGAGCCCGAACGGACGTCCCACATCCTCAGCTTCCCGTCCTTGCCCGTGGCCGTGACATGCTTGCCGTCTAGGCCCCATTGAGCACTCCAAGCTTGTGCAGGCATGCTGATCTGAAAGACGGGTGAGGTCGACTGCGAGGAAGCGTCCCAAATGGCGAGGTTTGTGTGCGAAGTCGAGAGGAAGATGGAGTCGGCGAGCGGGTGGAACGCGATGCAGTCGACGGGTTTTGAGGCGGGCGAGGCTGCGACGGAAAGAAGGGGAGTAGGCGATTGTGCAGACGGGTTCGAGGGGTCAAAGGCGGAGCGAGGCGGCAGCTCGAAGACGTTGATCTACGCGACTCGTCCAGCCGATCAGCTCAACTTGAACCACACGGCTGGAGTGACGCGCACCTGTCTGTTGTCACCGCCCACCGCCAGGAAGCGGTCGAACCCGTCAACCTCGAAAGCCGTAATCGCCCTCAATCCAGTCTGCAACGTCGGCGCCTTCATGCCAAACTTGCCATGTTGGTCGTACGGTAGGACGACGAGCGAGCCTGCGGTCGAGCCCTGGTCAGCGAGAGCATAGGACGAAAGACCTTGGCAGGACTAACCGGACGCAGAACCCAAAGCGAGCCAGTACTCCGCCGTCGCCCTGATTCCGTCACATCCATCCGACGGTAAAGCGTTCGTGACCGGAATTTCGGACCACCAGGACTCTTTCTGCGATTCAGGCGAATGTCGGAGGGTCAGTCAAAAGGTCGCCAGTTGTGAGAGGAGAACCGCGCTCGCCTTCGCCGGGGTCGCGAGGGCATTCTTGAACGGCGAAGAGAAGAAGCGCGGAGGCATGGCGAGTCAGGATACGCTCTGCAGGGTTTCGAAGACAAGGTCAGTCTACGAGCAGGAGCGAGTTGGCTGTGTCTCCCTCGCCGATGCCGGTCTCGCGACACCCGCCACTCATCTGCTCTGTTTGCGTGCACCGGCCTGTCCAGCCTATCACGCCTGCTTGCCCTCACCGCTTTGACACTCTCCCCACCTCAACCCCGATAGACACCGTCCCTCCTGCTCGAGCCCGAGATCTCCGCGAAGGCGATGCATTGCTCGTACAGCCCCTGAGAACGTCCAGACGTAGGACGGCGAGACCCACGAGGCTTGTTCTGGCGAGTTGGCGAAGGAGAAGGGGACCGAGGTGACGAGGAATGGGTCGGTTCCTCGGGGGCGAGACAAAGGCAAGCGCTATGGACAGGATGCAGGACAGTGGTAAGATAGCCGCAACGAAGAACGAGGTCGAAGCGAGAGACGCGGTGTCGTGGGCAGCAAGAGAGGAACGCGAGGACGAGGCGTGGGCTTCCTCTTCGAAGTCGGACTGAGCAGAGAGGCACAGCTCAGCAACAATAACACATCGACGCTCAAAGGCAATGCACCAGGCGAGGGGCGATGCGAAGGTATGCTCGGATTGCAGAACGACGGGAGTAGGGAGGGAAAGAGGGTATACGACGCCGAACGACCGAGGGCGCTGCTTTTTCCGCAGGTAATCAGGATTGTACACGTAGAGCGGGAGGGTGGAGGTGCTCAGTCGATGAGGTACTCTGCGCAACGTTGCGAAAGAAGTGCAAGTCAACGACCGTTCACGCTGGCACTCCGAGCATTCGACACAGGACGAGAGCGCTCAAGCACTCAAGGGAAAGACACGCACTCTTCTTGAAGTAGCTTCGCAGGTGAACAACCTGCCAAACGCCGAGGAGGATGAGGGTCGAGAAGGTGAGGTAGAAGAAGTTCTTGACGCGAGCATTCGTTGACTCTGCAAGCATCGGCCATGCGCCTACATCAGCTCCGCTTACTCGTTCGCGACGAACGGATACGAAAGAAGCGAGGCGAGACTCACCGTTCGTGTCCCGCATGCGCATCTCGCGCCGCTTCAAATAGTTGAGCTCGTCGACAATCTCCTTGACGACGCCCTCGAGCTTGCGCATCTCGACCTCGAGACCTGACAAGGATTCTTGCTTGGCAATGGCGTTGTAGTCGACCGCATCGGCACCAATGTCGACGTCGAGGTCGATCAGGCGCTCGTACTTGTTGGCCTGGTGCTCAGGAACGGCTGCCAGAGTAGCGAGGGGTCAGCATACTGCTCGTCCAGAGATCACCGCCCAGAACGTGAGGCGAGCAGAGAGCGCAGCAAGAGCGTCTAGGAAAACTCACAAGGATCCAGGACGTTGCGGAAGCACACGCCCAAGTCTGCGTCCGCATGCGTCGTGATGGCCATCCGCGTCTCTCCCTTGAGCCCCCGCTTGGCCTGGTACGTGTTCCTGCTCGAGCTGCCGTCGACGACCTCCATGTCGAGCCGCTGCAAGTCGTTGCCGGTAACAGGCGACGAGACCGAGATGACGACGAGCGTGTCGCTCATGGCATAGTTCCACAGGCACTTTGGCTTCGGGTTGTGGTGAGCCGTGAGGGAGAACTTGACTGCCGAGACGAATGAAGGGAGGACGAGGAGCGCGAGTGTCGCCGCGAGGAGCGACGTTCGCCCCGCTGCATGCCGTGTCCGCGTCATAGTCCTCCTTCGCTGTACTGGTGCACCGGCGCGCTGGTTCGTGCGGCCGTCGAGGCGTGAGCGCGAGTTGTCGCTGGACGTGGAGAGGACGAGCGAGGGCGGGGCGAACGGCGTGTAAGGGGGTTGTATGGGATGCTGGAGCCTTCAGAACAGATAAGCACACGCTCAGAGCGAGCCAAAGCAGTCAAGCAGCGATTGTCGTCCTCCAACTCACGCCCCACCTTCCCCCGTCCACCTCCTCATCACTTTCGCGCTCACACGCTGCTTTGCTAGCTTTGACGGTGCCATCCACCGTACTGACAAATCCTGAGCCATCCAGCGACCGCGACAGCACGCAGGATGGTCGCGACGTCACGGTCGGCGAGCTGGCTACCTCTCAACGACACTTTCTACCGCAGCCACCGCGTGTACTCGCTCGCCGGATCTCCACTCGCCCGTGTAGATCTCTCCGACCATGTCATCGCGGCAGCCAAGTGCGGTGGACCCGTTGGTGCGTCTCTCGAACCCCCACTCGGACCTCGAAGGGCCTCGCTGACAAGCCAGGACGGACGGGCAGCCTTGATGCGAGACAGGTCGAAACCGGTACTGCTCGGGAAGTATGACCTCGCAGCGGCAGGAGCGGGGACGAAGATCTCGGTGTACTCGTCTGCTGGGCAGCTCCTCCAGACTATCATGGTACGAGCGTTCGAGCGAGCGAGTCGCGTAACCCGAGGTGCTCATGTCTCGACCGTGCAGTGGGACTCGCCGTCACCGATTGTTCACCTCGCCTTCCTCTCCCCTCTCACCCTTCTCCTCCTGACCTCGTCCGGCATCTACCGCCTCTATTCCATCTCGACGCACCCTTCTCTCCCTCCATCGTACACCCAACACGCCATCCCAAACGCAGACGACCACGGCGGCGTCCGGCAAGCAAAAAGCTGGGACGCTGGCTTTGTTGCCTTGATGGAAAGCGGTGCTTTCGTCGAAGTCAAGGGCTTCGGATCCGGCCGAGCGAGCGGCGGCGGAGCAGATGGAGTGGACGGATTTGACGGGCGAGGAAAGGGCAAAGGTCGCTCGGATCGCGAAGGCGCCTCGGGAGGAAAGGCAACCATGCTCGCTTCGACCGGCCTCGACTCGATGCCGGACTGCTGGTGCGTCGTACCGCCGGACGTCAGCTCGAGTCGAGGAACCGAAGTGCTGCTCGCAAAGGGCGAGACGGTGTGGAGGCTTGACGAGATTGACTGCGTGGACCAGGTGCGTATTTCTCTTCGAGCTTCGGCTCTCGTCCTGCACACGGCGACTATGCTGATCATGCCGATGTTCTCGCGCCCGCAGCGCCTCTCCCGCGGTCCTTACCTCTCGATCACGCCCTCCCCATCCGGCCGGTTCCTCGCCCTCCTCTGCGCTTCTCCCTCCTCGAGTCCACCTCAACTCTGGGTCACCTCGTCCGACTTTTCACGCTCCTTTTCCGACGTCGCGCTCACGTCCGAGATGTCCGAAGGCGAGAAGGGTAGGCCGAGATTGCTGGAGTGGTGCGGGAGCAACTCGGTCGTCGTGGCGTGGGAGCGGACAGTCGTCATGGTTGGGCCATACGGCGAGACTCTCAAGTGCGTCTTATTGCTCAAGAGCGGGCTAGTACACGCCTGGACCTCACTGACTCGTCGACTGCGTCGCAGGTTCTTCTACACCGACCCCGTCCACCTGGTCTCCGAGAACGACGGCACTCGCATTCTCAGTTCCGAGGGCTGCGACTTCCTCCAGATCGTTCCTCGTTCGTCCTGCTCCCCTCACTTTTTTTATCGCTCGCACTGAGTGTCCCCTTCTCGCAGAATCCTCCCAATCCGTCCACCTTCCCGGCTCGACATCCCCCGCATCGCTCCTATACGAAGCCTCACTCGAGTTCTATGACCGCAAGTCTCCTCGAGCGGATGAATACGTACGGAATGGGCTGCTTGGAGGCGGGAACGGCGGAAGGGAGATGCGAGAAGCGGTAGAGGGTTGTCTGGATGCGGCGGCGAAAGAATGGGATGAGGACGAGCAGAAGAGATTGCTGAAAGTGCGTGCTCGCTCACTTGGGCGAGATCGTCGAGCGTTTCCTGCTGGGAAGAGTAGCTGACCTTGGCGCGCAGGCCGCGGCTTTCGGCAAGTCGTTCCTCGAGGCGTACAACCCGACCGACTACGTACAGACGACGAAGATTTTGCGGGTGTTGAATGCGGTTCGAGACTACAAGGTCGGGCTGCCGCTAACCTGGGAGGAGTATGGTTGCCATTGCTGCTGTACCTGCGCGAGCTACTGACGTAGCCTCTCGAACAGGTACCACGCCATGCCGCCCTCGCACCTCATCTCCCGCCTTGTCGCCCTCTCGCAACACCTGCTCGCGCTTCGCATCTCTTCCTTCCTCGGTCTCTCATCCTCGCCCGTCATCAAGCACTGGGCTCAACAGCTCATCGCCGCGTCGGCGCCTGGTGTTGCTCCTGTCAATGACGGCGCCCCGCTGTCGGATGAGGATGTCTCGCGCCTCATCGTCGACAAGCTGCAGTCCCTTTCGTCTCCCGCTCCACCCGCTACTTCCGTCACTGCCTCCGCCTCAGGAACCGCTTCATCCGCCTCTTCGACTACCGGTCCAGTACCGGACGTCCCGCTTTCGTCAGGCGACATCGCTTTGACCGCCTTCCGCCTCGGACGGCCACACCTCGCTGCGCTTCTGATCGAGCGGGAACCGAGGGCCGGCAAGCAGGTGCCGCTGTTGTTGCGGATGGGAGAGGGCGAGGAGGCGATGAAGAAGGCTGTCAAGAGTGGAGATCCGGAACTCGGTAGGTTCTTCCGCTTGTCTTTCACTATTAGCTGCCGATCAGCGTCTGACGTTTTGCCCGAAACACAGTCTTCCAAGTCCTCCTACACCTGCGCCAGAAGCTCTCACCAGGCGACCTCTTCCGCCTCGTCGAGCGCGTCTCCTCCACCATCTCCGCCTCCGCCTCCGCCTCCTCCGCCGCAACCTCACCCTACACTCCTCATACCCGCGACCCCGACCCAATCCTCTTCCTCCAACTCTTTCTGCGCGAGATCGGCGAAGACAAGGGATTGCTGCGCGATTTCTGGTATCAAGATGATCGGCGGGTGGAGATGGGCTGCGAGATGCTTGTCGAGGCTGGGAGGGAGCAGGTAAGTCGGGCTACAGAAGGCCGCATGAGCTGCAGCCTCGCTTGAGCTGACTTGCGCCGGCCCTTTCCTCGCGAACTCTAGGACTTCGGCGACAAGGTTGCGAAAGTTCGGCAGGCGCAGAAGAGCTTCTCGGAGGACAAGGAGCGAAGCTTCGAAACGAAGGTGCGCCGCTCTCCCGCGGACAGTTCGCACCAAGGCTGACGTGCCGGATACCTGCAGATGGTCGACGATCACATCCGCCTCCTCGTCTTTCAGCAGCAGCTCGAGCAGGACTCGGCTGCCAGCGGCAAGACGTTCGTCGGCCTCAGCGTCAACGAGACGATCCGCCAGTGCATCCTCGCTGGGATGGACAAGAAGGCGGAGAAGGTACGAAGCGAGTTCAAGGTCCCGGACAAGCGGTGAGTCCAGTCGACGTTCGATTCGGGTTCAGCGCGAGCTCACGATTTCGGCTGCACAAACCTAGCTTCTGGTACCTTAAGCTGCGCTCGCTCATCTCGCTGCGCGATTGGGACGCCCTCGACACCTTTGCGCGCACGAAGAAGTCGCCGATCGGCTACGAGCCCTGGGTCGACGAGCTTATTCGTGCTGGCGCACACCGTCAGGCTGTCAAGTACGTCGAGCGGTGCGACGTGCGAAACAGGGTTGAGCTGTATGTCAAGTGCGGAGAGTGGGTCATGGCCGGGCAGGAGTGCGTCCGGCGGGGCGAGAGCGGTCGGCTGCAGTGCGTCACTCTCTCTCGATCGTGCGGTGGCTTTGCGACTCTAACTGACCCACTTGTCACCGTTTCCAGCGACATCAAGGCCCGCTCGCCGAACAATATCATCGCGGCGCAGCTCGACGAGCTCCTCCAGGACATGAGCCATACGCACTAGTAGTCGGGCAGTAATGCAGCAGTGTCCAGCGGTATTCTGGGTCTACTTGCGTCGGGAAATCAAGAGAAAGTACTGCCAGTGAAAGGGGGAAGTGATGTGAGCGCTGCTCCCCCGTCGTGCGGAGCTCTCCTCGCGCGCCACGCTCGCTAACAACGCTCGCGGGCAGCCTCGTATAGCTCTCGAAGAAGCGCCGACTTTGCTCATCCACGCCGCGCCGCTCGTACCGCCCGCGACGCCCTCACTCGCCCGCCGCACCCGCATCGCCGCTCACCCTTGCTCGCCCTCGCATGCCCGTCATCCCGTCGCACGACCCGGTTCCGGGCTCGTACAGCGTCAAGTGGGCCTCTGTGAACCACAAGGACGAGCCCAACGTCCTCACGATCACGCCGGGCTTTGGCGACGGCAGCGAGGAGCGGTGGCCGCCGCAAGGGCCTGACATGTCGCTCCTCGGGCCAGAGCACGAGAAGCAGCAACAGTGGAGACGCACTGCGGCAGAAGTGATTGCGAAGGACCTCGGACTGCTCAAGCGTGCGCTCCCTCTCCCTCGTTCGGCTGCGGACGATGGGGTCTTCCTCCTCACAGCGATCATCTCTGGCTGACTTGTACTCTCTCGCAAGGATCTCCAGCGACGGCGCAGCACTGGATCCTCTCAGAGCTGCCGACCGGCTACGGGCTCTTCCAGCAGGTCACGCAGCCTAAAGAGTCGGCTCCGCGCATGACCGGCAAGGACAAGATCCGCCACGACCGCTTCATCTTCGGTGCGTTGGCGAGCATCTCCAGTGAGTGAAACTGACCTAACCTGCTCGCGCACGCCAGGCCACAACAGCAAGAAGATCCGCTCCGCCATTTCCCTCGGCAAGCACATCAGCAACCAGATCTTTGGCGCCAAAAGCCTCTGCCACTGCGACGGCTGCAAGGTCACGCAGCCTAAGGCCTCAGCTTCGTCAATGGCCGACATCGGCGCACCGATCAAGATGCAGCCTCGCAAGCGCAAGAGGACGGGGGAGTATGCGAACCTTGCGGGCGTCAATACGAGCACGCCGCCTTCGTTGTGGGGACTCGGAACAGCTGAAGGAAGTGAAGCGGGAGGCGATTTCGACGACGCTACGTCTGTCGGGACGACTGAGACGGCCGACTACACCTTTACCGGCGGAGACAGCGCGCCGCCTTCGCCCCGCAAGCGGACTGTTTCTGGCGGCGGCAGCAGAGGGCGAGGGCGGGCGTCCGTACCAGGCTCGGAGAACGGATCGACGAGGGGAAGGGGGAGAGGGCGAGGCAGGGCGAAGCGGGCGGACGACGACGACGACTACGGAGACGACGACGATGGCTCGGACTACAGCGAAGAAGTCGGCTCAGTCGGTCCGACTGCACCTCGCTCGACATCCGCACGCCAGCGGCGCCCGACTTCGAAGGTCCTCTCGCAGATCGAGTCGAACATCCCGACCGCGCCAGGCGAGCCCGCAGCGGACGACTACGAAGCCCTGATGACTCCGGCTGGCAAGGACGTCTACCGCGCGATGGGCGTGCCGACGCCCGAGGAGGTGAAGGAGGACCTGGCGGATCCGCAGGCGTCGCGCGTCGGCGAGCTCGTCTGGGTACGAGTCCCGCTCGGTCCGCCTCCGACGGGCGAGCTCGCGCATGCGCAGCTCTCGCGGTGGCCTGGGATCGTTCGTGGACGTGCGCCTGCGCCGGAGAACCCGCGCGAGAAGGTCTACCGCGTCGAGCTGCTCGGCATGTCGAGCGAAGACACGCTCGAAGGCGTCCGCAGCGAGAACGTCACGCCTTGGCTCGGATACATCCCCTCGAACTCGGCTTACCTCAATGCGAACCCGCCCGAGGACGATGGGATTGCGGCGGGGCAGCCGAAGAAGCGGTGGGCGGCGATTCAGGAGGAGGGCTGGCTCGCCGTTGCCCGCGCTTTCCGTCAGGCGCACCGCATCGCCAAGGCCTACGCTGCTATTCAAGCTCGCCCGTGCGTGCAGTCTCTAGTACTCGCACCCCTCTGCAAGCTGACGAAGTCGCTCGAGCAGGCTGCCCGAGATCGAGCCCGGGATCCACTTTACCGTCCCAGACGGCTCCTCGCGCTTCACCGCCACGTCGACCAAGGACCTCGTCGAGACGGGCGAGGAAGACGAGTACCTCACGTACGACTACATCAACTACGGCCCGGAAATCATCCACCTCGGCGACTGGGTCCGGCTCGACCCGTCGACCAAGCTCGAGCCGATCGTCACCGGCGCGAGGAAGAAGCAGCCGAGCAAAGCGTTGCCTTTGTCGCTCGTGATGCGCGTAGGAGGGATCTACCGCGGCAAGCGCGGCGCACCGCTCATCGCCCGCGGGCTCATCTTTGAGCAAATCGAGACGACGTCGATGAACCGGTCTATCGTCGACCCGTCTATGACAGTCCTCGATCAAGCGACGCTCGAGTTCCTCCCCCCTCCCTTCCCGCGTCACAAGTGGCGCTTCGTCCAGCCCCCTCTCGACGTCGTCTCAGTCGATGTCCTCTTCGGCCCGTCCGTCGCAGGCCGGTACTACCCCATCCCTCCTGCGTCGCCGACTTGGACTCATCACACGGTCGTCAACTCGTGGCTTGATGAGGCGATGAGCGGGAATGGACCAGCGGGGAAGGGGACGGGCGCGGTCGGCGGGAAGGGCGAGGAGGGGATTCGTGCGTTGAGCTTGATGTTGGCGGGGTTGACGGCGGGCGACAGGACGGTGCGAGTTGACGTGAGTGCTAGGCCAGTCGTTGCTCTTGAGTTGAAGAGCTGACTCGCTTTCGGCGCTGCAGGCTGTCAACGGGATCAACGGCGGTCGCGACGAGCAGTACAGGATCGCAGAGGAGCAAGCCCTCGTGCGTCACGCCTCTCTCATGCTGTGCGCGAGCGCGAAACTGACGAGAGACTCGTCTGCACTCTCGCTCGCAGGATCGCTCCGCTTTCCCTCCCCCGCCCCAGCCACCTGTTCCCGCCGCTCAACCTGACGCACAACCCGCCGCACAACCTGATGTCACTCCAGCCGCCAAAGTAGAAGACGCGGCAGCAGCTACGGCGTCGATGGACGTCGAGGCGCAAGCGTGAGGCGGCTCAATTGACCGTCTGCGCTCGAGGCGCCTCGTCATTTCCGCCTCCTGTCGCCGCCCTTCTTGGTCCTCGAGGTGTTTGGGAATGCAAGTGCCTTCTTGTCATGCTGCGCTGGTGGTCCGAGAGACTTAGCAGAGAGAGGGCG